GTGTATATATATAAATAAAAAGAAGCCCTGAAAGCATTCACTTTGACCCCAGTGAATGGAATCACAATATAAAACTTTATATAGAAAAAAAGTGACAAACGTTCGCCATTATGAACAGGTCCAATATTGCTCATTAGAGGATACTTTTAGTGGAAATTAAAGCAAATGTCTGTCTCTCTCTCTCTCTCTCTCTGTCTGTCTGTCTGTCTGTCTCTCTCTGTGTCTGTCTGTCTGTCTGTCTCTGTGTCTGTCTCTCTGTCTCTCTCTCTGTGTGTCTCTCTCTCTGTCTGTCTGTCTCTCTCTCTCTCTGTGTGTCTCTCTCTCTGTCTGTCTGTCTCTCTCTCTCTGTGTGTGTCTCTCTCTCTGTCTGTCTGTCTCTCTGTCTCTCTGTCTGTCTCTGTCTGTCACACAGTAACGTCTGTCTATCGCTTTGATCCCAAACACATCATTTTTTGTAAAAGGCAGAGAAACGTACTCACCTGTTTGACAGACGGGGCTGTGGGGGCAGTCCGGGCTGTGGGGGCAGTCCGGGCTGTGGGGGCAGTCCGGGCTGTGGGGGCAGTCCGGGCTGTGGGGGCAGTGGGGGCTGTGGGGGCAGTGGGGGTAGTCCGGGCTGTGGGGGCAGTGGGGGCAGTCCGGGCTGTGGGGCAGTGCTGTGGGGGCAGTGGGGGCTGTGGGGGCAGTGGGGGCAGTCCGGGCTGTGGGGGCAGTCCGGGCTGTGGGGGCTGTGGGGGCTGTGGGGGCAGTCCGGGCAGTGGGGGCAGTCCGGGGGCAGTGGGGGCTGTGGGGGCAGTGGGGGCAGTCCGGGGGCTGTGGGGGCAGTCCGGGGGCTGTGGGGGTAAATGATAATAACAGCCGCTGTGAGAGCGCAATAATAAAGCTTAACTCTGAACATTCAGGTCCGTTTAGTTCAGTGACACGAGGGTTCGCTCACAGGTACCAGAGCTGTGTGTGTGGTGTGTGTCTGTCCATCCGCACCTGTCAGCCCAGGACTCCCACACGTCACTCACCCGCCCCACCAACCGCACTGGGGCTCAGCCCTCTGATTGACGTGCAGATATGGGAACAGGCGGAGCAAACCACTCCCGGCAGAGGGGGAGTCGGCTATTTGCTCCGCACTTTCTCACGTTGCTGATCATCAGAGCAGTCCTGGGGGTCACACCGACAATAATAATAATAATAATAATAATAATAATAATAATATTCCTGGCCTTTGATGGTCATCACAGTGCCTTGTCATGTGGTTGAGATGTCTCGGAGCGTTTCACATTATACACTGTAAAGCATTTACAATGTATAATGAATTTATAAAGTATGAATTACAATGTGTATCGGGGACACTGCCCGTCATGTTGACAAAAAGACTCAAAAGCACCTCTTCGCCCACATCTGTCGTGACCTTTGGACATTGTGTAACACCTCCCCCTCAGAACTTTCTGACTCGTTTCCTTGAGCACTACAGTATATTAAACCGAGCGGCAATGTGCAGCTTCAATAGATATACTGTCAATCTCGATCCCAGAACCACAGTTTGAATGAAAGTGCGCGACTCACTCATTCGCATCCTCTTGTTTGACTGAGAGTGAGAATGTGACAGTAACAGGTGGGTTTCTCAGGCCCTGAGAAACGCAGCACATTACATGACCAGCAACTGGCAAAGCAGTGCAAACCAGCGAGTCTGGTCAAACAAACCAGCGAGTCTGGTCAAACAAACCAGCGAGTCTGGTCAAACAAACCAGCGAGTCTGGTCAAACAAACCAGCGAGTGGCAAACCCGACTCGGGACACAGACATGGCATTGCTGCAGTACCGTCAGGAACTTACACTGATTTGGTGTAAAATGAACATCTCAAATGACTTTGCTAAATAACAGGTGTGAAACAAAGTCAATGTTTGTATTAGAACGATGACATAGAATGCGACAGCACAGAAACAGACTGCTCCCCCCGACTTGTTCACGCCGGTGCTTATCCTCCGCATAAGCCTTTACCCCGTGTCCGCTTCTCCGTCGTGTTGGTAAGTACTGTAAAGCGACAGTGAACGCTGTCGTCCCTCAAACAGCAACGAATTGGAAGTTGGAGGTGAATTTGGATGAGGAATGGAAGCACAACAACGTAAGAAATGCTACGTGAGGAAAAGACCGAGAGGTCCATCCAGTTCACCTTCCACCTTCCGGGCGGTCGCCTGCACTCCCTCTGTACAATATCCCATAAGGTTATTTCCCAAAAGAAAAGTATTTAAGATGTGTTTGAAAGAATCAGCGTTTCAGGAAACAAATCACAATCAATCAGTCAATCAGTCAATCAATCATTCAGTCCAAAATGACATCTTCCCCAAAATATTATCTTTTCCTGAAGCATTTACAATAAGTGACGTGTGTGTCAGTCAGGGAACCCCTCCCTCCCCCCCACCCAGGCCCCTCCCTCCATCACCCCGGCCCCTCCCTCTGCCCCCGGCCCCTCCCTCTCCCCCCACCCCCTCCCTCTCCCCCCACCCAGGCCCCTCCCTCCCCCACCCAGGCCCCTCCCTCCCCCACCCAGGCCCCTCCCTCCCCCACCCAGGCCCCTCCCTCTCCCCCCGGCCCCTCCCTCACCCCGGCCCCTACCTCCCTCCCCCGGCCCCTCCCTCTCCCCCCCCAGGCCCCTCCCTCCCCCCCCCAGGCCCCTCCCTCTCCCCCCCAGGCCCCTCCCTCCCCCCCCGGCCCCTCCCTCTCCCCCCGGCCCCTCCCTCCCCCGGCCACTCCCCCATTTGGTGTACAAATGGCACAGTCCAGCCGCCATTCGTTCAAATTGGAGGAAGTTGGGGGGGGGAGAATTCCTGTATAAAACATTTTGATTACTCGGAGCTCTCACCGACATTGTGTTGTTGTTGTTGTGGTTGAAGAGAAACACACGAGAGCCACAGTCCGTGTCGGGGGGTGTTTTGCCGGAGGTCCCCCCGCGCGCCCCCGCGCCTCTCGGGGAGTTGGTGCAGTCGGAGTGACTTCCGGTCTCCTCGGCTGTCGCGCGGCTCCGCAGTCGCCGCCATGTTCGCTCGGTGTCGGTCTGTGTCCCGGAGCCTGAGCCGCTGGGCCGTGACCCGCCGTCCCGGGGCCCTGCAGGTAAAGCGGGGGCGGGGGCCCGGGCCCGGAAATTAGCGGCGGCGGCGCGGGAGGGGAGGGGAGCGGGGGGGGGGCACAGGCCTGAGGCCTGGAGCCGACACCGGCAACAACAACAACTTGTGTTTACACCGCGGCCCTGAGCCCCACACCGCCCCCCAACAGACCTTCAGCCCACGGCGGCTGCTCTGCCCCCACAAAACACACAGTCACTACACACTGCACAGTGTGTCCCGTGAGGCGCTTCGAGGCGTCTCGACGGCGAAATGAGCCCCGGGTCAGACCCCGCGGGATGGGGTCATTATTATTGACCAGAGGCCACCGCGCGACAGCAACAACAACACCGCCTCGGGTTCATATCGCGCCCTTCAGGCCCTGTCCGCCCCGCGCACTGTGACCCCCGCAGCCCCTCCCCTCCCGCAGCCCCTCCCCCCTCCCCGGCCCCTCCCCTCCCGACCCCTCCCCTCCCGGGCCCCTCCCCTCCGGTGCCCCGGGCCCCTCCCCCCCGCCCCCTCCCCCCCCCCCGGCCCCGACCTTCGTTGGCATTTTTTCACGCGGAGGTCACGTTGACTCAGTTTAACTCCCACTCCCCTTTGAGTGTGCGGATCCCCGGCTCTCGGTATGTTTTGTACAGCAGTGGCTCCTCATAAAATTCCGCACCTCGCTCGACACGTCTCTTTTTTCCCCCTCAATACTGCAGTTTTTATTATTGTCTATGTTTTATTATAGTGTTTAAGCGCCACTTTGCTGACGCTGCACCGAGTTCCTTTGAGGACATGTTGCCAGTACTTTGCTTTGCCCGAGGTCTTTATTTGGTGGAATCCATTTGAGAATATTCTCGTGGGAAATGTGTTAAAATATCCAATGTCGGGCTAGTTACTATGTTTCTGGGTACAGAATGTGTTAAACTTTCCAGGGTTTCAACCCCCAATAATTCCTAATCACCGGCCAATGTGACCCCTCCCCCCCATCTACCTTTAGCCCCCACTGGCTAATAACTACAATGTCTTCTGACTGTGCAGCTGTATTGATATACCCTCAGTGTGAATAAATGTATACAACAACAACAAGATTCCATTTATAGAGCGCCTTTCACGTCGGGAGGACGTCCCAAGGTGCTGTACAGTTGGGTCAGGACCCGAGCATTGGGGGGAAATGGTCAGGGTGAGGGGAGGGAAGGGAGGGAGTGAGGAGGGGGTAGAGAGTCGAGAGGGGAGCTGAAGGCACGGTCAAAGAGAAAGGTCTTGAGACCGGCTTTGAAGGAGGAAAGGGAGGAAGCGGCGAAGGCACTGGGGATGGAGTTCCAGAGCCTCGGGGCTGAGAGGCTGAAGGCCACCGATGGTCGGGCGGTTGGGGCGGGGGATGTGGAGCAGACCGGAGCCGGAGGAACGGAGGGTACGGGGGGGTAGGTAGGGGGTTAGTAGGTCAGAGAGGTAGGAGGGAGCGCGGCCGTGAATGGCCTTGTAGGTGAGGATGAGGGTCTTGAATTCGAATAGTGAGTGTGGTGTTGTACATGAGACCACAGAAATCGTGGGCTTGGTCCATGGTCTGTGGTAAGTTGTAGATACACTCACAGCTGCTCGATTGGCCTCAAGTATCCACCTCCACCTGTTAAAATCACCCCACGGTCCCATATTTTTGGACTATCTCTCATTACCTGTGAGAGACCATTCACTCTGGTTTCTAACCTTCCCCCAACGCTGACCCATTTTCTCTTCTTTCTTTGACCTCTGTGATTTGTGACACTCAACCACTTCATTGGTTTCTCTTTGGTCAATCTCTGCACTTTCTTGGTTCCACTTTTACCTGTCCTGACATCTGGTAATTAGTACCACAGACTTTAAATTCCTTGTCATAACCTTCAAAGCCCTTTGCATTTTTGCCTCTCCAAATCTGTACATTTATTTCCAGCCTTATACATGACTTATACAGTTTGCCTGCAACTCGGACTTCGCGTCCCGACTGATGTCCCGAATGACACGACTTTTGTGAGTTTTATTGTAGACGTCTTCAGAATTCTGAAAGGTTTTGAGTGAGTAAATTACTTATTCTTGCTGGTTGGTAAATCAGTAACAAGATAGATAAATTTAGATTCATTGGGAGAGAGAGATGAAAAAAATATTTGGGCTACAGATGACAGTATGTGTGTTTGCAATGGAAACTGGTTTGAGCTTATGTTAATACTGCTGTGTAAACTGTGACCTTTACATGAACAACCCACTTCAATTGGAGAAGTGGAAATTGATTTATTTGCCCCCAGAGCAAGGCACTTTGAACAAGGATCTCATGGTGAAGCCTGTAACTCGCTAGTCTTGATTGGTTTTGAAGCTGTAGTTGCTTGGATTTCTGTGCTCTGGGATCAAAAACTGTTTCAACCCTTTCCAGTTATGGCCAAATGAAGGGGAAGTAGGATCGGGTAGTCATGTACCACAAAACCATGATAAATGAGCAAAAGAAAATAGTAGTCTATTGTGTATTGTCAGGCTTGAATAAAATAATAACTAATAATTATTACCTACAGTTACAAAGTGCAGTATTTATCTTTTTAAACATTCCAATTTGATTCTGTATCTATGAAATTCTGGTGCAGTGAATTCCATTTTCTCACCACTTTTTGTGTGAAAAAAAAACGTTTTATTTCTCATTGACTTAACTCTAATGTCAAGGCCATGTTGCCTTGTTTCTGATCTTTGTACCAGAAGGAAGAGTTGTCCCTTCTCTCGCTCGTCAATTCCCTTCATTATTTTATATCTTTCACTCAGATCAGTGGTGATTATTCTGCTTTGTTCCATATGCCAGAGAAGCGTTGGCGACGAGAGCAGAGCATACAGCACAATGTTTGTCACAGCCAACCTAAGATCACAAACCAGAAAGTCTTTCTGTATCTTTTCTGCTTCACTTTCTCCCTCCACCGAAAGGCTGTGGATGCAGGACCCATTTAAATTTTTGAGACTGAGGTGGATAGATATTTGTTAGTTAAGAATATCGAGGGATATGGGGCAAGGTGGGTAATTGGAGTTGAGTTACAGTTCAGCCATGATTTTATAGAATGGCGGAACAGGCTTGAGGGGCTGAATGGCCTACCCCTGTTCCTAAATTCCTTACTCCCTAGGCACCACACTGGGGGGGAGGAGGGAGAGGGGAAGGGGTGCCACCATTTGCTGCCTTGTGTAGTCACAGTGTGTTAGCAGTTTTGACATTGACTAGTCAGGAGGCGACCCGAGTTTGGTTAGTGTTCAGATGTGAATACCTTGTGCCAAGCCCTCTTGTGTTACAGTGATATGCCATTCCTGTGTCTTTCTAACTTCCAGTACAATTACTGGCTTGTTCAGTAGATTACATAAAATTAAAGAAACCAGCAACAGTTATGTTTACTTTGTATTGCTTTCATCCACCCTCATGGTAGTATAACATTCCTACTCAGTTCCCTTTGGCCATGAGTTTGGGGAGTGGAAACTGAGCTGAGCAGATCCTTGTTGTATGTGCTACTTGGAAGCCAGACAAATATAGTGTCTACTGCGGCACTATATCCTTTTCCCTCGGTTGCTCTGTACTACAGCACTGGAGCTCTTTTATGCTGGAGAAAGCCACCAGCTTAGTGTTGCTGTCCTGACATTCAGTTTAATCCTGCGGATCACTGCTGCTTCCCACTGGACTCTGAGAATTGCTGAATGGTCAAAGATGAGAAATGCAGAACTTTTAAAAATACCACTTGGGTTAGTAATTCACATGATTCGTTTTTTTCCAGTTAATTCACATTATGATGTTAGTGCTCTCTCTCCTCCCACGCCCTCCAAAAAAAACACAGCTAAAAGCAACATCCATCTGAGAGAGCAGGTAGATGACTCACTCTAGGGCTTCCAGTCTTGGTCTTTGAGCATTTTAGGATGTGTTTCTGAATGACTTGGAGGTGACTTGTCCTTTCATTATTTTTGTCCCTCTGTGTCCTTTTTTGTTTTCAGCTAGAAATAATGATGACATGTTCCCAGAGTCTAGGAATATAATAATAATAATAATAATAATAATCCTTGCATTTGATATAGCACTTTTCAGGTCGGGAGGACGTCCCAAAGCGCTTCACAGAACACACTGTAAAGTGAATTGACTGTATATTTGTGGGTGAACGCAGCAGCCAATTGCGCACAGCAATGTCCCACAAACAGTCATAGATTGAAAATGACCAATTTATTATTGTTTTGGGTTTTGGAGGGTTTATTATTAGGCTCTGTGTGGAGTAAGGAAACTTGCCCAAGGTTTCGCCCTCTGCCTGGAATTGAACTCAGGTCTCTCGCTTGCAAAACGAGTGCTCTAACCACTGAGCTACAGGACTCCACTAATCTAGGTAGCGAAGGGTAACCAGAGTGATCATATATATGTTCAGGAATTATTCACAAGGAATACAATGCAAGAAGGAAGCTAAACCGCTACAGAATACACGTCACTGCACTTTACAGTAAATTCTGTGAAGGGCTTTGAGATACTTTAAAGGCCTCACATAACGTGTATCAAATTATATCAAGGATTATTATTAAAATAATAAACAACAAAAATGTACTGTTTGTTCCAATTGAAATATACAGTGGATCCTTTAATGAAGGGATGAGCGCACTCTCCTCACTGGTAGATATTTGACACTGGGTTAAAACATTTACAAAGCAAATTCTAATGGTTAATGCTATTGCTGAACTTTGTACCAAATATAGTTATCTCCAAACTTAAACAGAATAGGTGACATTTGCTGCAACTACTTTACAATGTATTTCCTCTTCTTCCCCCGCCCCCAAAAAACCTGACTGCTCTTTCTACTTTTCTCCATTTAAAAAAAATGCCAAAGTACATGATATAATAATGTTCTTTTCCTTCCCAGTAGGTAGTCACTGCAAAGGGTGTGGCACTGTCTTTAATATGTCATATCCTAACTGATTTTGTCCGGCTCCATAGCTGGAAATTCTGTCTGGTCGGTATAGAATCCTAAAACAATTCAGCCCATTGAGTCTGCACGGGCTCTCAGAGGAAGGTGATCGTTCAGTCTCACTGCCCACCCTATCTCTCTATCTATTTAAGCCTCTATCTTTCTATACCTGTTTATTTCCCTCTTGAAACCCACAATGGCCTCAATCCTCTAATAATTATTATTATTATCACCTTGCTTACCAGGACATTTCGCACCTCAACAATGAATGAACATTGTTCTCCTAAGTAATTTAAGGTCCCATTTTATGTTATTGCTAACAAAAGGGGGAAAAATCTCTTGTCCTGTTTTGAATTCACTTTAATCAGTTTAATTGCTGATTAGTCCTAAACAGGCTGGAATTGATCATTGGTGGAGGTGAGGGTTTGGTCAGACGGTCAGTGCGATTGGCAAATTGGTTTATTTAATAACTTTCTAATTTACATCGAACTTGACATTCTTCAAAAACATGGAGGAGTTTCTCCGGGTGCCCTGGCCAGCCTCCTCCAAATCAGTTTGTCTTTAATCTCCTGCCTGTTTGTGGCACCTTCCTGCATGCACAGCGCATGCCCATGTTGACCAGTTTGACAGCAGTTCTGGAGGCATTCTGATGTTTCAATGTTATAGGTGCTATATTCAGTGCAAGGATTGTTTGTTATTGGTGCCTGTGGGTCTCCATCAGGGGAATGTGGCAATAACGTGCCTGTGGTGTCGTGCTTCGCCAATGTCCAGCGCTCTGGGACACTATCCTGCATGAGGGTCGCAATATAAATGCAAGTTGTTGTTGCTGCTGTACGCAAAAGCTTTCAAATTGTATCCACTGGATTCAGTTTTCCAATGATTACCAACACTACAAAAACACAAATAAATGGTTAATTGAGACACACTTGTAACTATCAACAATATTTGTATTTTGTAAAGACCAAAAAACATTTTGTAAAATGCAGCAATTCATGCGGTAGATTACTATTCAACTGTTAGATTAGTGGCTTTCCCATCAGCCAGTGATGAAAGCCATGCCATTTAAACAGCTTGTGTCGGAGAATAAAATGCTCTCTCTCTTTCCATTCTCTCTCAAGGCTAGTGGATCATTAGGACGAAGAGCTCTCTCGGGTGAGTGTTTTCTGTTGTTTGGTAGTTGATGTCAACAAGACTTGTGGTTGAAGACCCGCTTCAGGGCTGACTCTTGCTGTATAGATTTAGTGCCTTATTTTGCAAGATTTGACTCAGGAAAATCATTTGTATTTCTTTCCCAACTTTGCAGAATTTTGATTTTCTCAAATGTGGGAATTTTTCCATTCTATGAATGTAAATCTATATTATAATCACTTTCCATCCTCCAACTGTCTGCCATTTCTGGTCTTTCTGACCAGAGGTTAAAGCAAGGTCCTGTCTGCCTGGTTAAATGATCTTTAAATGCACACAGCACTAGGGGGGAGAGAGTTTCTCCTGGTGTCCTGGCCAACGCCATTCACCCCAATAAAAACTTGCAATTAATTTCCTGACTGTTTGTGATTCTTTGCTATGTGTAAATGGGCTGCTAAATGCTGCTTTCTAAAGTTTGATGTAGAGATTTGCTAAGTACTACATGTGAAACGTGATTGGCAATAACTGACAACCTGTCTCTTCTAGGTCTCTCGGTGGGCCATCGAGTGGTCAATAATAACCGACAGTTTCAGTAAGTCCTGAGAGAAGAACTGCAGAGATCATCTTATTTTATGTGCCACTTTCTGATATAGATGTTATGTAGTTTATAGACCAACAGGCTAGTTTGATATTTCATCCTTCCATGTCTTATACCCCTTGAACCTGTTGTAATGTATGTTGCCCTCTGATAAATACATGTAAGATACTCAGCATGGCTTGCTCCAGAATTGGCTTCTTTGGAATGGTGGTGTGGGGGGGAGGGGTTAGGGTAGAATGCACCATTTCAATATTTAGCTAAATACGGGTTTTCCTTCTGAAGGGGAAAGGATTGGAAACCCAATTGCACTTGACCTTCTGCTGTTCTGCTTGTGGTCTGCTTATACTGTGGTGACATGAATTGTGTGACAGACATGTTATAGGAAGTGCCACCTCACAACATGGAAAATTTTACTGGGTAAGAGTGCACCGTTTACCAGATTGAGTTTTAATGGGAAAGTGTGCACCATTTAGCAGATTGACCGCGTCCCTGGTTACATTATTTTTGCCGTTCTGATCACTTTCTTGTTTAATACACATCTTGTGCTCAGATGGACACTATCCTGTTTGTTTTATCATTATCTCATGTCTGCACTGAAACTCTAATTGTAGTGTTTTATTTACAGAGAAAATGTCTCCAAATTCAGGATCTTCCACATCCGACACTTTAAGACTTCTGCAGTTTTCAGTAAGTATTGAACCATCGTATAATAATAATCATATACAACATGCTGCTAGGTTTAAATCTGTGGGATTGCATATTATGCTGCCTTCACCGTGAGTTATTTAGAAAGCTAAACATTAGCATGTTTTTACTGTGTGAATTGACTCCAGGATAGTTGCTATTTGGATGAGGTAAGAATTAAATAAATCTAATTGTGCTGAATCCTGAAGCTACCTGATCAGATTACAGTGGGTGGTATCGACAGTCACTTAGTGTTGCAGATTGAGAGAGAGAAAAAAATGATAGCAATTTAAACCCAGAAAATGTTTCCACACCAGTCTCTCTGACTGAATGTGCGGTTATCTTATGCTGTGAGTCCATGCTCAATAGGGAGCAGATTGAGAATCCTTAAGATCAGTTTACATGGGACTTAACATCTGCCTGAGTTAGGTTTGAACTTTGCGATCCAGAGATGAAAAGTGTGCTAAACAAAACATTTCCCCCCAACAATTTAAAAAATATATTTCCTCATTCTCACATTTGAATGATACAAGATCAAATTCTCATTAAATTTAGCCAAAAGACAGGAATGAAAATTGATCTAAAGTAATTTAAACATAAAAGCTCCCTAGTGGCTGCCCTCCTTTTCATGGCAAATAGAAGCAAGACCCTGTTTACTGTGCAAATTACACAATTCAGAGTTAACATTATCTTCCACTTAAGAATGTAACCTTGAATGTTAATGTGCCGTGCTCACTTTTAAGTAAAGTTCTTTGGGGTCTGTCTTGAGGCAGGTGGGGCTGTGTGCTTATTTTCCTTTGCTAGTTTCCTCAAGTCTGAGCAAACACTGAAGGTACAATAAATTTAGGTAAATGTTATTAAGTGGGTGACATCTTCACTGTCAGCCTCGTGATGAGTTGCCTTTTTCCACAGTAGCTTTTAATTGTCCCTAACATGCTTCCACAGATGACGAGGTGATGACAGTGAACACGCCAGCGTTTGCAGAGTCTGTCACAGAGGGAGATGTCAGGTGGGAGAAAGGTAACTTGGCCATTAGTATGTACATTTGGTTGGTTATAAGACTGGCTTCACATGATTGCATATTGGTCGGGGTCCATGTAAGGTCCACGTCCCAGAGCACTTTAAATCTTCACAAGTTGCAATAAAATAGAAAAAATGAAATGTAATCCCATATAAAGTTTGCGAATTGATCTGGTGGGACGAGAGACTAAATTTGGGCACAATCATCCACTTGGTTTGGGATTTTCTTATTTGGGGATTTTATCTTGAAAACATTCACTCTTTGTTGCTAATATTTCATTATTTGTGACGTGTTTAGCAATAGCTGAATTTGCTGCTGTGATAAATCTGTTCTGAACTGCGCTTTAAAGCAAACGTGCATGTCAAGCTCTCTTTCCGTGATCTTTCGTTCTGTTGCACTCTGAAGCCTGTAAGTTTCATAAAAGGACGTGGGTATTAGGGTAGAGTGACTGCCGTGAGTCACCAGCTGCCTGGTCTATGCTGTAGATGTACAGTAGAGGCATTAGAGAACCATCAATGTGTGACTTGATGCCCTGCTACTGTCCTCTTTGTTCAGAGCAGCCTGCAACAGTGTAGAATGTCTTAATACCAGACAATCATTATCACAGAGGTGTAGTTTAGCCACAAATAAATGGGTTTTTACCAATAAGGAATAAAAAGCAACTTGTGGGCAACTTCTCGTAATTGGACTAGAAACAGGCGAATAACATCAGACTGCTGAAAACAGCTGGTACATCATGGCTCTGCAGCATGGACTAGGACAATCCTCACACACACACACAATTCCCGCCTCTCAATGTCCACAGTGAGTTAGATTCTCAGGCTGGGAGAACGCTTGTGAAGTGAGCTGCTTTTTAAGGAGTGAAGATTGGATGGCTGGTCAACCCATGATTATGTAGTGGTATTTACAGAGGATAATGTGGGAATATAGATTCCATCCTTTGAGCCAGCAATGATGCTTTGATCAGAGGAACTGGGTTGGGTAGGAAGGTAGACAAAGGGTGTCCTTTGAGAAGAAAGGATAGGGCAGTCATCAGGCAGATAAAGCCTTGAACAGCATGATTTGGAGTCACTTAAAGTGATAAATTCTGGTTTGGGATTTTGGTGATAATAAATGTCAATTTGCTTTGGACATTCTGTGGCTCCACTGATGACCTGAGGAAGTTGAAGAAGATCATAGGTTAATTCACAGAATCATAGAAATTTACAGCACTGATGGGAAGAATTTAGTGGGTGGGGAGGAGACAAAGGAAAAGTACTGTATCTGCCAGTTCACAGCATAATGTCAGCAAGTTACCATGAAAGTGACACTATTGACCATGAAAGCAGTGCAAAGCTAATAGATTTGGATTCCCTTTTATTTTTATTACTTGATATAAATGCCAGAGTTTTTCACTGTATAATCGACTCACGACACTCTGGTCTTTTACTCCCAAGGATGCCAAAGGCTTTAAGGTACAGTAAATGTCTCTACCATCTTTACACTGGCACGTCCTGAAGTTGTGGTGGGGTATTTTTAAGAACCTGTATTTCAATCTAAACACAGTTTCCACCCTGTGCATTTCACACCTAGCTGTGGTTGTGCTTGTTAATTGGGCACATGTGTTGACCACAATTCGTGTGCACATTTTTTTAACTGGCTTTCACTTCTTGGAACCAGTAAATCATGGTTAAGATTCTGACCCCCCCCCCCCCGAACGCCAGAAAGTAATATTTTTTGCTATTTGCTATTTTCTTGCATCAGAGTAATTGGCATTCTCTGGGTGAGATGCATCTTCACTCCGTGTGTTCTGTTGCAGCTGTGGGTGATACAGTCGCTGAAGACGAGGTGGTATGTGAAATTGAGACTGACAAGGTGGGTAGCTGTTTCTGGTGAGGTATCATTTCTTCAAGGTACCCCTGCATCATACACTGTTCCCAAGGCGAGAGAGCTGGCAAACCTAAACAACATTTACACAGTGCCTCTCATGGTAGCGTCCCAGAGCACTTTACAGTGGCGGAGCCTGATGCCGAGCCATTGGGAGCGGGGGGGTGACCGGAGGCACGAACTGAAGAGTTTTGGGCATAGTGGCTGAAAGCACGGCCTCCAATGGTGGGACAGAGGCCTTAACATTACTCACAATAACAAGTTGCTGGGGATTTGGTGAGAGTGACAACTGGGCTATATCACCTTTACTGTAACTTTCCCTGATGATTTCTACAGCCCTCAGTCCCCATTTATTATGTCACTGAGTGACCTATTTATAGCATCGGTGGTGGCCTTTCAGCCCATAACAACAACTTCCATTTATATAGCATCCTTCACGCAGGATAGCGCCTCAGGAGTGCTGTAAAGTGGTTGGGTTGACACCTCGTTTGGGTCTATCCCCCACTGGAGTTCCATACTAAACTCCCAAAGTGTCTGTCAGGACTGCCTGGCATCTTTTTGAGCTCTATTTGTTGATCAAGAAGCTGGTGTAGTAAAATCCACTACTCACTGTACATTCCTCACCCAAACTCCGAGCAGCAAGAGGTTGCTGCGTTTCTGAATGTATTCTCTTCCTTTCAGACAGCAGTGCAGGTTCCTGCTCCACATGCTGGTGTGATTGAGGAACTCCTGGTCCCCGATGGAGGTAAAGTAGAAGGAGGAACCCCTCTCTTCAAACTCAGGAAAACACAAGGTAAGTGTACACATCTGATTCCACCAAACCTGTGGTGTGCCTTGTATGCACATCCGCTTATACCAATATTGTGTGTGTGTGAACACACCTCCCCTTACAGTGTGCTGACTCGCTCCTTGCGACATGAGTAAAGTGTGGTGTTTGATGTTCTCACCCTAGACCTGAGTAGTGTTGCGTGCACGCTTACCACAGCCTTGAGTAAAATTGCTACATTCTTGCCCCCAATGCAATTGAGTTGTGTTATATATGTGTAATTACTTCACTTCCTTAAGACTAGTTAAATGTGCTGCACGTACAGTACATACTCTCTCTCGTTCCCCCTTCTCCCCCACACATACACTGTATCTGTATAACAAAGCAGAGAAGCTCGAGATTGGAGCAAAGTTAATGTGGTTTATTTTTGCTTCTCCAGCTGGTGCTGCAAAGCCCAAAGCAGCAGAAGCTCCAACTGCTCCCCAACCAGCAGTGACACCACCTTCAGCCCCTGCACACAGCACAGGGCCAATCCCAACCACAATGCCGCCTGTTCCACAGGTATCCACACAGCCCATGGACAGTAAACCCGGTGAGCAACAGCAACTTGGGACCCGCACCAACAGAAGTGATTTGGGTGGATGAACTGTGCTTAGGAGCAAGTGGGAATATCGAGATAAAGAAAGTCTTAATTCTGAATAATTATTCATCATATTAGAGTTGTGCTCCTTTGCAGCATTGGGGAGCAGAGATTTCTAACTCGCTGTGTGATATTGTCAAGTCTGTTGAAAAAGAAAAAAATAGGAAGAAAGTCAAAAAGATTTTAAGTGTTCTGTTCTCTGTCGTATGCATGGTATATATAGTTTGCATTAAATAGTTTTCCCCTCATGGAGTGATTGAGCGTTTCTACTGAACCTTGTTTAGAGTATTCGAGTATAAAAGCTTCAATGACCACATCCCACAGACTCATGGTCAGTGCTTGCTCTCTCCCCAGCTGCAGCAGGAACCTAATGACAGAGGAATAAAATGCATCATTACACTTTTAGTTTTGTTGAATGTATTTCTGAAGTCGACGGTGAGGTTTAAGGAGATACACTTTAATGCTTCATGCTTGGTTTAAATTTAAATGTATTAAAAGAGATTGATGCTCAAGATTTGATCCCATTCAAATTTAACCACTTAAATAAGCCAGTGGGGTCTGCCTACATTATAACCTAGTTCTAGGAATCTCAACAGTAAAGTGCATTTCTGTATGTGAGCTCAGCTCTGAGGTGAATACCTGCTCAGCGTTTACAAGTGGCAGACTCAACATCTTCTTCCAAATCTAAGACAAGCCACGTCTCTGGTTTGTATAGACAATGTCCATGTAATTGCATGACCAATTACAGTCGTGCCCAACCTTTACTCTTTATCTCGATATTCCCTTTATGGTTGGCCAGCAAAATACATATTCTTGATTGAATATTTCTTGATTTATGGCATAAAACAACTGTTTATGGAGCATGGACATACCTAGACTTGTGTGAATGTTCGGGAGGCTTGCTATTTCACTGGGTTGCCAGTGTGCCGCAGTGACTTAGAGAGAATCGCTCACAGCTCTTTACTATGTCTGAGTGGGAACCTGAGCTGGAGGAAGATTGGGGGTGGCTGAAGGCACAATCAGAGAGACGTCTTTAGACACAGCATTCAAAGACAAAACATGCATGGATGTGATGCAAAAGTAAGTGCCTCACTTTCTTTCATGGCTTCTGTTTTTATTGCAGTCTCAGCAGTGAAAGCCTCCGCGGTGCCTGCAGGATTCTCAGTGGAAGCCCCAGATGCAGGGCTGAAAGGTGGCAGATCAGAGCACAAGGTAGGAGCGACCAGCGATGCCAGATGTTTAGCCAATTTACCTTTTATCTTCTATGAGTTGTAGTGGGGCTGGACAGGGAGTGGATACAAACTACAATTTGCTCCAGGGTATATAATAATAATAAGTGGCTAATAATCCCTTCAAAAAAAACATAATAATTTGGTCACTCAATCGATTGTTTGTGGGACACTGCTGTGCTCAATTGGCGGCCATGTTTTGCCCACAAAATACACAGTCACTACACTTTATAGTGTATGTGAAGCGTTTTCAAGCCACTATATGAAATGCAAGGATTAATATTATTATTATTAATACTTTGTGTAACTGGGTTACCAAGGATCTAGTTGTATGTTTGGGAAATAAGGGTTATGGGGAAAGAGGATTAAAAGATTGGCCATAATCTAACCAACATGTTTTAATGTTCTTGCTTGTAATCTGCACACATTTTACAAATATCATGTCGAGCATTTTAAACAGATCACTTAAATAGGTAACAAGCCTTGAAAACAAGTTTGTGCGACTGAAATCATTTGTTATTTTAACTTCTTTTTTTCAACGTTTAGGTGAAAATGAACAGGATGCGGCTGCGAATTGCACAGCGCCTAAAGGAGTCTCAGAATACGTGTGCCATGCTGACCACCTTTAATGAGATTGACATGAGGTGAGGCCATTTGATTAAAAAGTGAGTTGTCTTCTTATTGCTAAGCTGCTGTGTGTACCATATTCTGATTGTTCTCAAATACCTCCTTCCCTCACCCCCGAAGCCAGCACCAAATAAATTCTATGAGTTTCTATTTGTAAACGTTTTGGGCTTTGAAAAGCAGCATGAGGCTGTGCGAGTGTCCTGCTCTATCAGAACAGCCAATCTCTGGATAAATCTGTTTCATATGTTTTTGAAATACAGATGTTTCTCACTCTCTCCCTCTTCCCCTCACCCCCACCCTCCCCAGGGATCCTAGCTGGCTGTGTAAAGCTCTTTGAGATGTGCTCCCGACATGAACAGACCTAAATGTAAATTGTATTTTGTTGTGATTTTAAATCGAAAGAAATACTGCCAATATATTTGTCACTTGCTTTCCCTCTGCCAGTGACCCATGTTTAACAGCTCAGTGGCACAGCACGGCCGTGTTACAAACTCCAGCTATTTTTACTTTCTTCATTCTTGTCCTTGCAAGTGTTTCCTTTCCAACCCCCGTGCACCAACATTTGCTTCATGCAGAACTCATCCCAAATGAAGTTCCTGCATTCTGTTGAAGAAAGCTTAACACCAGGCAGGGAGACGTGTTTTAGACGGAGCGTAAACTAAGGCTCTTTCTTGACCTATGATTAGAAGATTATTTTCTAAATGTTATTCAAACCCTTCGAAAACCTGAAACCTCATCCCCACTTAAGCAAATGTGTGTAAATATTTGTGCCTAATGTAGTTATGCTGTATCGTGGGCACATCACACAATATTAATTTAAGGGGAAATGTTTGCCTCTTGTGCTGGAAATGATGCTTTTACCATTTCTTTTAAGGCAGTTTTGGTTTACAGCTCTTCAGGGTGCTGGCCTGTACTGTAGTAATGCCTGTTTAAACAGATTAGTGAAGAATGCACTTTACCAGACTAACATCTGTCTGGAGACTGTCGCGAAGGAGGGAAGAGATGGACAGAGATAAACCCCCCCCCATGAGGAGCCTGGTGGTCAAATGAATGCAGTTTAATGATGAGGCAATGAAAATTTGATATAGTTAGACTGGAAGATTTTATCATTCCCGGCTCCTTTTCTTGTGTTCTTGCATCTTGGGGATGCCGTAATGGTGTTAGGGAAGTAATCCTATAGTTAATGAGCCTAAGTGCAGGAAAACAAACAGGGTTAAGGGGAAAACACAGAGACACAGACACCTTTTATCTGCTCAATGAAGACGCTATCCACTTTCACTGCTTTTAACCCTAAAACTGCTGGTTTCACTGGGATTACAGATTCTTTATAGCTTTAACCCTCAGATTGCCAACAGAGTGTCTGTTTGTTGGACAGTGCAGTTGGTTTGACCTTTTTTCACTGTATTTTAATTTATTTTCCTTAAATTACTTTAGTATTTAATTGTGCAAGCTTAACAATTACTGTATTCCTGCACCTCCACACCTTCGCAATGTTCCACCCCCTCACAGCTTCACCAAGGCACTTTGATAAAGAGCCCCTGTGTGGGTGTAAATCGTGGAGCAGTCTTCGTGGTGAATTGTGGTGTAAATGGGCTGTGCTGCTTAACACAGGCCTCTGCAGTCCTAGTTACTGACACTTACATTTCTAGAAGCTGCAGAAAAGAACAGCAGAAAATATACAGTAATTCAAAAAATATGTTTCATTCATTTCACCATGTATGCATGCATTTTACTACTTTTTACGGAGTGTTTTTTGTGCTCAAGATGTGTTATTTTATTTTGTTGAAAAGTACTGTAGTGCTGAGAATAAGTTCCAAGGAAAATGCTTCTCTGTCAAGAGTTGATGGAGGTGCTATCCAGCTCGGCTACAAGTTTAAGACACAAATTGTTCAGACTGATTACCAACTGGTGGAATGTTTGGTTGGGAGGCATTTTTAAAAACATTATTTTTAAACCCCAGAAAACCTGATGGTGGGTCACATGCTCCAACTGGCTCAGATATCTGTTATTAAAAACCCGTGTGAAGCGGTAAATTGATCAACAAAGTCTACATTGCCTCATGTGACCTCCCATGTAAATATGGCCCTGTGATCAGTTCTGACCTTCAGATACAATACCTATCCTCTCTGGAACACATCTCCCAAATCCCTTCACCTTGTGCCTTCTCTCCTTGCTTTCAAAACCCTCTTGAGAACGTATTACATTGACTGCCTTTGCTTAACACCTTTATAGCAACAACAACTTGCTAAAGTATTAGCGCTCTTCACAGGGGTAGCTTCTCAGAGCACTTAAAAAAACCTGTGTTCTTCCCTGTTCAGTGATCTCCATCATTTATATATAAATGCAAGTTGTGTTTCGAGGATCTTAATAGTCAAGTACAAAACTCATGTTGGGGATCATAATCCAGTGGCAGATCATTCTAAAATCTTATAATTTGTCGACAAAAAGGTCAGTAAGTCACTACACTTTACAGTAAATCTGTGAAGTGCTTTGAGACATCCTTTCAACGTGAAATGTGCTATATCAAATACAAAGATTATTATTTATATTATCGTTGGCTTATGGCTAATAGCTGTTCCATGAATAACATATGCAGTTGAGAAGGGACCCCAAATCTTTGAGGAGACAGAAGCACAGTGCAGCGAGCGGCAGAAAACAGCTGTACACTACACTAAGTGTTTATCACTTCCACTCGGGTCAAATGAATGGAAATAATTGCGCTGGATCAATAATGCATGAATGGAAAGAGGTTCAGTCCACACTAAAACAAAATGTAGAATGTTCTCAAGATGATTGTTGTATTATGGCATAAAAAGTAAAGTAGTTCAACCAATTACAGAAGCAATTCAAATGGTAATCAATTCTGCACATTGCTTTCAAATACACGCATTTATACTGAGCTACGGAAAGTATTTTGCATAGAAAACGCTGCTCAACTTCCTCTTCACAAAGGCTTAGTATATTTAGTGCGGTAGATGTTAAACAAGTAGTCATGTTAATGTAAGGGCTTAGTTGACGCTCAGTAAATGTTTGTTGAGTGAAATTGAAAATTGTTACTGAAAATAGCAATGTTAGAGACAATCAGTGACTGATTAAAATAACATGGAACTGAGAACCAAGACGGATGTATTAGATTTAGTGTTTAACAGTCTTCCAAACTGGTTAGTAAACTGGAAGCAAGTCTACGCTGGTGCTTTTCTCTCAGTGAAGCTTGTTTAATCCCATTCTCTTGCATCTCATACCGTTTAATATTCCTCTTCTTTTAAACTTGTCTCTTTTTAACAATAATCTTTGCATCAGTGAATTACACCCTCTATAAAGATTTCTTCAAAGACATTAATTCTTTTTGAGACCATACTAACTGTGTGCCCTGCCCCAGAGTCGCTCTGAGCTGAGCCTTCACTACAATGCACCAACCGCGCTTCTCTAAACGTCATTGCTAAAATTGCAAACAGTATTCTAAATGTGGGCTCAACAACAATGTGGGCAACTTGTTTCAACTTGGTTTGAAATTCAGTGATTAGTCCTGTTAACTTCACATCATCCGCGATCACTAAAACCAGGGAATTGGTTAAACAGGTAGAGCAGCTCTTGGAGAGAGGCGTCATTTTGGGGAACATTGTTCTGAGAAATTGTTGTTTCTCCCGTTCGTGACTTGAGAAATGCAAATTATTTTCCTTTTCTATCATGTTGTTAGGCATCCCGTTATCCTATATACATGATAGTTTGATGTGTATAACTTTACACTCTTCTAATTAAAATTCATCTTTTATTCTTAACCTGCCAATTAATTAGGCCTTGTAAATGGAACAACATCAAATACTTCCCACAAAAGTATATTTCTATTAAACGTATGTGTATATTGTATGAGTACGTAGATTAGGATGCATAAGTATATTCGTTCCCTTCCAGCAACATCCAGGAAATGAGAGCTCTACACAAGGAAACTTTCCTGAAGAAACACAACATGAAGCTCGGATTCATGTCTGCTTTTGTCAAAGCAGCCAGCTTTGCTTTGCAGAATCAGCCAGTGGTCAATGCTGGTGAGTATTGGCTTAGAAAGACCAGATCCTAGCAATAAGCTCTTGAATAAGAAACAAGGACTATTGTAATGTAAAGGATTTACATTCACTCAGTGTATCTCATGGCATTTTAATTGTTTTTGAGATTTTGGTAAATATTTGGACTCTGTGTGGTGGGGACAGGGGGGTAAGGGTATGAAGGTGAGATTTAGGAATATAGGAACAGGAGTAGTCCATTCGGCCCCTCGAGCCTGCTCTGCCATTCTGTTAGATCATGGCTGATCTGTACATCAACTTCAATTATTTACAAACTAGCTTTTATGCTCATTGACATACAAAGATACAGCCTGTGAACAAGCAATTAAAAAGAGTTAAAGAGAAGCCCTGTAAAAATGATATTTTAATACGGTAACCTTGAAGTACACAAGTCAATGCTTTGCTGTAATCAGGACTTGCTTCTGTGGTCACCCTCTTGAAGGCTTTAGTAATAACATAATGAAAAGCAATTCTGTCCATCACACTTGCTCCTTCCGTAGAGCATGAATAATATACCCCACCTACTTTATCTCCCGAGGGAAAGCTTTACGTAAATGCTCTCTGATTTTCCCCCAATATTAATCCTATCGCTTTTCCTACTCCGTAGTTTACTGGAGACCCTCTGTCATTCAGACAACCTCTCTCCCACCCGGCCAGAGTGCCAAAAATCAGTATCTGCTGTTTCTTGCACTATTACATTTTAAGTGCAATGACCTTTTAATTCTTCCTTTAAAAATAACCTTGCTCTCATGCCGTGTGTGTGAACGGTTCTGAGCTTCCTTACCCACAGATTGTAGACATCTCTTACCCACAAGCTGTTTATATGAATGTGAAACGGATTGTGTATAGAGGGCACAGCAGATGTGTCTACCTCTGCGGGTTTGAATATGGAGACCAGCCAATAAAGTGAGGGTGTATTGTTGAGGGAAGGAGGGGATGGGGTTTGTGGGTTTCAAGAAAAATTGAATGAGAAGCAACAAATGGAGTAAAGCAGAAAAAATATCTTGGTCAATGAACCACTTTTGCCGTATATACCAACAGTTGTATAACTGCTAGAGAAAGTACGGTAACGTTGCTATGTCAGTGTGGGTGCTGTGGCATAGGAGAAGTGTATTGCCCTCATGGTGAGTTTCCAATCTCAGCTTTGCTGCCAGTGAGATGCTGAATGGATTTTAGATTGAGGCTCAAGGATTCTTACCTTCTCTTAGCCTGGACATGTGGAGACCTAAAAGATGGAAGAAGGGAAAAACTTAAAATAATTGAAATATTTTTTAAAAACATTCCATTAATAAATAATAGTTATTATAGTGGAAGTGATCTATTGATATTGTCCTTTATTAGGTGCAGGTAGTGTACTTCATGTGGCTTTGCTATGCACATTTGAGGACACTGCCCTGCCTTCCAGTTAATCTAAGATTAACACCAGTTCAGCATCTTTTAATGCTTTCTCCTTGTCTGTCTAGTTATTGATGATAGTACCAAAGAAATAATCTACAGAGAATACATTGATATCAGCGTTGCTGTAGCCACACCTAAGGTGAGTGTTGCACTTGGGTCATTATTGATCACAGGCTCCATGATTTACTTCAAACTACTTCAAACTTGGAACCTTCTCCCGGCCACAATAAGCATGATTCTATGTGGAAAGGGAGAGGGAAAGAGAGAAGAAATCAGCTTCATTTTATTCTTCTGGGCAAAAAGAAAAGTCCTGGTAGTAGTAATAATAATAATCTTTGCATTTGATATATTATCACGTTGTTGAGACATCTCAAAGCGCTTCACAGAACGTATTGTAAATATAGTGTATTTTGTGGGCGAAACTCAGCTGCCAATTGTGCACAGCAGTGTCCCATATGAATGAGTTTTTTTCACATGCATTCATAAACTGCATCCTACTGTTTTACATTGTGACTTTATTTTTTTATAAAAATTTGAACTGTATTGGGTTACTTCAACGTTGAATAAGTTGTCCAGCAATAAATAGATTGATGCTGTTTGTTCCAGTTAATCAGTGTTTGCTAGCGATTTACCACGTTTTGGGTGATCACCTTTATCATGAACTACAGTTGCTGTCAGATCCTGAAATTTATTCAGCAAATGGAAAGAAAATTTGAGTCATGGAAAAGTTCCATTTGTTCCCATTAAAAACAGGAATGTCTTGCCCAATAATCTTTGTTTCCTGGTGTCACCTGATGGGTATCCACATGCTGATGTTTGTCTGGTGAAAAATCTCTGCGTTTTCAACCCAGAATTATCTGTTTTCTTTGTAGGGTCTGGTGGTCCCTGTGATCCGAAATGTTGAAATGATGAACTTTGCTGACATTGAAAAGGCAATCAATGAGCTGGGGGAGAAGGTAAGCCACTGGCCAGTGTTTAACATTGGGGTGTAATTTGTGGTATGTCATTGGCTGGCATTCCCTGGTAAAGATTCTAAGTCGGATGAATGGAGATTCCTTCTGCCAACTGGATGGACCTTGTCATGGCTACACATGGCATCTCTGCTCTCACACACTAACGTGGGTCGATGAGAAATACCATCATGCCGCAGACTCCATTATCATCTTTTTCACTTATTTTACTTTAAGTATCAGTATTTTGGCAAAACAAAAGGCTTTCTGCTACTGTTGATGGGGAGGAGAAACAGAATAGGGTAACTCACTGTGAAGCCACATGTTATAGGGAGGGGGAGGGCCAATCTATTGGCCAATTGAGTTTAGCATCTGACTAAATGATGAATTGTTTTATTCACCAATACTTAGCAGCTTCTCATTATACCTGATACACATATGAAGGATGCTCATTGCCTTGTCGTTGGCCTAGGCTCGTAAGAATGAACTGGCTGTAGAAGATATGGATGGAGGTACTTTCACTATCAGTAATGGAGGTGTGTTTGGCTCATTGTTTGGGACTCCAATTATCAACCCACCTCAGTCTGCTATCCTGGGTATGCATGGCATCTTCCAGAGGCCAGTTGCCATTCAGGGCAAGGTGAGTACTATCTTGTTCAATTTCTATCGCTTGGATTATAAAGAACAAGAGTTGGGGATGCAGGGATGAAGAGAGTAACGTTCATGAGTAGCTTTTATGAACTGTTTCTTTTTGCCAACATTCTCTGCAAATGGGTAAAGTAATGGCCTTTCATGCATTTCAGTAAACTGTTCGTGAAGGACCTTTTGTATAAACAGGGAGAGATCGCATAACCCTCTGTAACTGTCAAGATCTAGTCACACATGGCAATAAGTTCAGGACTGACTGCTAGACCTAAAGTAGTGGGATTGGGAGAGTCGGTCTCCCATCGTGTTTAGAATCTGTAATCAGTAACTGGGGACAAAAGGGAATTTGTTTTCAACTTGTATCTAAATCTGTAGCAAAGCAAGCGAGTTCCATTTCCCCTTCGATGGTGAACCTAGGATAGCTAATCATTGCCAACAATAACAATAATAATGCTTGCATTTGATACAGCGCCTTATCATGGCTTCGAGACGTCTCAAAGCGCTTCACAGGATACACTGTAAAGGGAATTGACTGTATATTTTGTTTAATGAAAATTCTGCTAAAGAGAAATTCTTGTCTCACGCTGCGAACATTTCCCCCTCCCCACTTTTGCAGGTTGAGATCCGTCCCATGATGTATGTGGCGCTAACCTATGACCATCGCTTGATTGATGGAAGAGAGGCAGTGATGTTCCTCCGAAAGGTTAAAGCTGTGGTTGAAGACCCTCGTGTGCTGCTACTCGACATTTAAATCATTATTTTTGTTATTTAAGAAAACACATAGAGATACTGAACAGATGTCATATGCATTTTCATCCTATTATTAAATGTTAAAACTTTTTTGGCGTTTTAAAAAATATATATTAATTGTAAATGAATGTTTTGTGGAGAGATTGCAATTGTGTACAGATCGGTTATTGTGGATGGATACTGCATGTTAGAGACTTGCTGGTAGATGCAGCTAACCTTAGTCAGTGCACAGGCTTAGGCAACCTGTCCTGAGATTGTCATTGATCTTCCCATGTTTGGAAGTGAGGGAAGTTTTTAACTTCAAGGTAAGAAAACTAAATGTTCTGTGTAAGGCAGAATTAGCACACTCAGTATTGTAATGCACTAACCTATTACTTGTCGCAAACTCACTTTATTTTATATGGACTTTCTGCCAAGTTAGTACAGTTTGGATTTGTACCCAGCATCTTCAGCGAGAGATGTTGCTTGAGATCCAATTGAGCTCTGCTTCCAACATTACAAGTAACAGACGTCATTGAAGATTGGAGTACCACAGGAGATGTCACTGCTGTTTGAGGCTGATGCCTCGCTGGCTCCTGTTGACAAGCACCTCGTGCAGGAGCTCTGAAAGGTACCCATTCCTTGATTTAGCACTTTCCTGTTCTGCTGGAAGCAACAGTGATTTCTGAGGGATTTCCCCACCACCACCTCACTCAGCACCAACTGCACCAAAAAATTGACATTTTGAATATTGCCGTTCAGTTTAAATCCAAACTAGACTGAACAGCTGAAAGCCTTTTAGCTCAGTCTCTGCTGGCTGCAGTTGTTATGTCAGCTGATTTGGGGACAAGGTTCATCTTGCCTCTCATGTCTGCACTATATAAGTTGGTGTTAATTGAATATAAAGCACTACCTTTGCCCAGGATGGCAGGTGTAGGAGCTGGAATATCATTGCTGTTCTGGGGACAATGTGAAGTTGGAGGTTTAGGTACAGTTAGGTAGAGTTGATGGAGTTTTACTCTGGCATCTATCTTCTGCTTTAGTGCAGGAGTACTTGGTATCAAGCTTTCTCCATTTCTGATCCCACCTCCTTAAACACCGTCCACTTCACTACCACAAACGTACATTATTTTACTTTCCTTCCTTTCCCCTCGTCCCCCGCCCTCACTCCACGACCACCCTTGTCACCATTTAGATAAAAGGTAAAGAGGTTTGTCTCCCGATGTCCTCCATGCTGTTCATTGGGAAGATGTGGTTTCTGCAGCAGGACAGGGTTAAGGGATGCAAGATGTGTAATGACCCGGGTTCGATTCCTGGACGGGGCAAAACGTTGAGCAAATTTCTTTACGCCTCATGCCTCTGTTTACCTAGCAGTAAATAGGAACCCAGTTATTAGTTGATTGGCTGATCGCTTTTCAGGGGGTAATAATTCCTTCAAAATAAATTTTAAAAATAATTTGGTCACTCAATCCACGACTGTTTGTGGGACATTGAAGTGTTTTGAGGTGTCTCGAAGATGTGATAAGGCACTATTATCAAATGCAAGGATTATTATTATCCCTCTCTCACCACACCCTACCCTGTGTTGCTGGCTAATAACTCAGCTGAGAAAGCATTTGCCTTTACAAGCCAAGGCCCACTTTTACCTAAGTCCAACTGACATCCTGTCATCTCCATGAATTGAGCAATCTTTGCAATCCCAAAACACGCACAACCTATTCATCCTATACATTGTCGCTGTAACATTCAACACCCGGTGTGATGTGAAGATTACAAAGACTGTTCGCCAAATCAGGTATTCTTTGAATAAACACAGACCTATTGGACATTTTTGTTAATTTTTTTCATTGTGGGAAAGCAGTCCTCAAGGGATCATAATCCTGCGTTATGAGGAACTGACATATGTGTCTCTCTCTCTCTATATATATATATATATGTGTGTGTGTGTGTATTCTATCCATCCATGAATTGTAATCGTACAAATTGGTAAAGCAGGAAGGAGCCAATAGCAATTTATTCTGAGGAAGGGGAATAGCTCCATTAGGAGGATGTGTCTGTCTTGGACAGAAAGCCATAGGACCTGGTGGGAAATGTAAGTGATGAGCTGGTGTAGTTTTGGAGGGAGGGAAGGAATGTATACCTAGCTTGCACACAACTACCTAGCACTGGTGTCTAATATCAATTGTTACCTTAAATTTGCTCACGTTAGTGTGTGATCTGCGGTAAGAGCAATATTTAGTTTATTGAGATGAGCTGATCTGTTTCACTCCTGGCACTTTTATGTATGTGTTTTTATTTTAATTTACTGCAGTGCGGGTATTGGGGAAGCGTGTGAAGGCTAACCTGAAATTGATGGGGGAAGGGGAACAGATTGGTTAACCCATTGAAATGAACTGCAAGGAACAAACAATCAAGTTACTGAGGATTTGATGCCATGCAACGTTAAGTTCCACATAGCTGACTTCACCACTGTGTTCCTTTGTAATAGTTTGTGCCAAGTACGCAGTTTTCTCCTCCCCCACTTGTAATATCACTTTAGGGATACCCAGAATATGCAGATTTGAATGCTGCCTTGCATCACTGTCAACATTCTGTTATTAAAAATTCCAAAGAAGTCTAAGTTTAATATCCAGTAATAAAGTGATCAGTTGCATTGATATAAAGGTGAAAATGGTATATAATGGTTTATTTAAAAAAGATAAACATATAATGGTTCAATCACCTTGCGACTGGTTTGGGGAACTTGTTTTCTCAGTGGGAGGAAATGAAATACAGTAAAATCTCACATAAGTCCTATCAGTTGAAACCATACATTTAATGTGACTTATGCAAAGTTTCACATAACTTGCATAGAATATAAACTCTTGAACGGGACTCAGACAGATGTATGACTTGGACAATTATACGATTTATACAGATCATACTTATGGGAGTATTACAGTATTTTTAAGAGATCCACTCTCAATTGACTTCTCTGCCTCTTTCCTCTGCTCCTCAGAAGCTCTCGACTTTGGTTGGAATGTTGGTTGGAAGTTTCACACATGTTAATAATAATAATTAACTTTCCACATGAAAGTTTATCCCCAACAGAATGAATTGCGAGATGCAGTGTAGACTGAGTGAAATGAGCCACCCACCCTCAGAAATATGAGAATCGTCTTAAATAGGCTTTTTACTCCTCTTAATTCGTTAAACAGGTGTTCCTGCTCTTCTCCCCTGCCTGACAATTTGAAGAGAGCATCTTTGCTCCTTCCCTCACCCCCATCCCCCTGAAGGCAGTTGTGTCTAGGTTAATCTTACCCTTCAGTCAATGCCCTTACATTTTTTTCCTGACTGGTGATCAATGATCTTTGCAAAGTATTTTGATACGTTCATCCCATGTGAAAGGTGCTGTATAAGCATAAATTGTCCATTGAGGCTCAATTCCTAAGTCCACCAGACAATTTTCCTGGGATGGATATCTATTTGGAGCTGAAAAGCTTAAAGAACATCACCCATTGAGCTCCTCTCAGGAAACGAGCTGCCTTGAGGAAGTGTGGGAGAAACCTAAATGTTACCATCATTACTCACTGTGTCAGTGGGTTTATTTCTTCACTTTTCAAGGCATAAACTCATTGATGTTCTTCATCAAAGTGAGAACTTTATCCATTTATATGGGATGCATTCTCCCCAAGCTCTTACAGATGAAAGGGTGGCTTGTGCTGTGATAACTCGCAATTCATGCCAGACCCTTACCTTGTCTCTTGTCTTACACAAGACTCAAATTAATTTATTTGTAAACCTATTTGGGTAAAAACAAAAACGAGACTCTTCCCATAGTAGCATGCAAATAGAATTATAGTCTTTTTTTAAAAAAACTTCTCTAATATTTCATCTTGTTGCCAAATTTTGAAAGAACAGTGATGTAAATAAACAAATTAATATCAAATAAATGCTTAAGTAGCAAAGGCTGCATTAATTACAGGCCCTCGCTAATGGAATCTGAAGAGGTTAAAATTTGAGGGAAAAATATTAAAAATGTTTTATTTGTACCACATGCCCATTATTAGAGCTAGTTTTATTCTTATGCAAAGCAACGATTCATCTCTCCATTGGGTCTAATGAATGGCAATTCTTTCTTTATCTGCCATTCATTGTGAGTGGACCACAGCAACAACACAAAGGGATTCATCTGAATACATTATCTGCATCAATTACAAAAGTAAACAAGTACTGTCCTGTTCACCATCACAGCTGTGTGAGCTTGACATGCTTAGGAGGTTAAGGGAAGAAATGTCTGTTTTGAAAATAAATTTTCTTATGCTTTCACTACAACACTTTTGTGTGGTGTTAGTGCAAAAAAGTAATGAAGCAATAAAGTGCTGTACAGCCCTGTACGGTGGTGGGCTGTGTGCTTTAGCCCTTGTGTGGTCCCCCTCCCCCCTCCCATGGCACTCAGGACTTGATCTCACGTAAGATGGTATTTTACATGAGGGACAATAACTGCACATTGTTATTGTGCTGCTGTGGTCAACGCCAAGCAGAGTGCTGTTTCTAACAGGAATGGAAGGGAGAGACATTTGTTGTTATCACACACCGCCTAGGGCCCAGATTTAGAGTAGCAGATCCACATCTTCTCCCAACATCCATTGATGGGTTACAGTATCGAGGGAGAATTCTGTCCGGATTTAAAAAAAGTTCTAATCACGTCTGTTCAAAAGGAGGGAAAAAGGGGAGTTTCACCTTGTCAACAATCCTGCATTAAATGGGTATTCACTTCCTGGCTGTTTATGGGAGCTTACTGGTACAAATGATGACTGCTGAGGTTTGTCTACAAAAAGTCGCTATGCTTGACAGTAATTAGTCTTGAAGTGTTTTGATGCATTTTTACTTGACAAACGTAAAAACAAACTACTAAGACCTGTTAAAAGAGGGAGTCGTGACATCCAGATCTCATTGTTCAAAGATATACTCACCATCAGAATCCCTTCTTGGAGTTGATTGCTGTCCTGCATGATGTGTGCTAAATAAGTTTATTTTCAGAATGATGTTTTGTGGCAGACCATAGAAGATATTGCTGTCAGATTTAATCAGCAGAACCTGTCTTTTACCATGAGCAGAGTTGTTAGTGAATCGTGGAGCTCCCTCCGCTGGTACAAAAAATGCATCGCTTTGGCACCATTGACAACAGCTGACTTGGGACATGAGTCCAAGTCCCAGATTCCAGCCGTCTTTTTTCAAGATCTTTAATGGAAAACGTTACTCTGTTGTTTTCAAGCCTTCAATTGTCTTAATTTCATATGCAAGAATAAACTAAAGATCGGCCTTATCAACAGTACCAAAGAACTTGCACTCGGCGAGGCATGATCCACAACCCAGAGGTAATGTACATAGCCTCAGAGGGTCTGGTACATTCCTCTATTATACATCTCCCAGAATCTGGAAAGGCAATCAGGTGCAACGACGTGCATGTGTGTGAGAGAAATCTCCCACCTCAGCCCTACACTGTTCCCTATGTGTTGTGCTAATATGTTCATTGAGTTGGAGTACAGTAATTCTACATGGTTCCATTTTGTTAGTAAAGTATTTATTTGGAAGGATTGACCTCAAATGTCTTTTTTAATCGAATTCTTACTGACAAAATGTACTGTCTGAAGCTTATTTTAAAGGTGACGTCTATTGCTACATCTGTTTTATCTGCTTTTTATTTTGTGTGTCTTTGAGATGTTCTGTCGTGATAAGGTACTATAACAGTGAATGTTCCCTCTCGTTTATTCAACTGTCACATTGAGCTGATGTTTTACTGATTCTACAGGTCATTTCAGGACCCAGCCTGCAGACTGGGCTGGTTTTGAACCCACACTTGAGAGGATAACCTGCACCATCCCGAGACAAAACAAAGGGAAACAGAAAATGATAATAATAATCCTTCCATTTGATAAAGCGCCTTATCACGTCTTCGAGGCGTCTCAAAGTCCTTCACGGAATATACTGTAACGTGAATAGAATGTATATTATGTAGGCAAAACCCGGCAGCCAATTACATACAGCAGTGTCCCACAATTTTTGAAGAGATTATTACCCCTGGAAAACCGATCCACCAATCGACAACCAACCAGGTTCCTACTTACTGCTAGTTAAAGAGGCGTGTGGAGTAAGGAAACTTGCTTAAGGTTTCGCCCTACCTGAGGATTGAACCCGGGTCCTTTCTCTTTGCAATGCGAGGGCTCTACTGAATATGTTAAAGGACTCCAGGATAAACAAATGAATGCAGACGTAGATTAAATGACCCTGTCTGGGCTGGATTGAAACGAGTTCAGAGGTGAAAGGATAACATTCGACCATGCTGTCCCATGTAATGTATTGTGTGAGACGAAATTCTCTCAAGTACTAGGTTTGGTTAAATTCTCTATATTTAGATTTATAGAACATTGATCAGGTAGTTAAAACAGAGTAGGTGCCGACTCCCGCACAGACAGACGTACATTACTTACTCTCTTTAGGATCCAAACATACCACGCTTTTTAACAACTTTTTAAAAAAAAATTGAGGATTTAGTATTTTTTTCTCTTTCCACTCCTCCTGGGTCGCATGCTTCAAGCATCCTCGCGGCTGGAGGAAGGTCAGGCATGCATTCTCCAGCTGTTTCCTCAGTTAACCAGGTGCTCAGAGGGGACAAGTAGATTTTTTGGTAGAGGGGAAAGAGGAGGAAACTTGGACCCTGGTCCTGGAGGCAAAAGTGAAACCTATCCCGGGAGCTGACTGGCATAGCTGGACAGGTGCAGAAGCTAAAGATAAGTGAGGTACAAACATGGTCTCAAGCCAGAGTCTCAATGGGTTGGGGAGTCTTCGCTGCACAGTAACATGCTACATGGTTAGAATTTTAAAAAATAAGTTAATCTAAAGCTATTCCAGAGTCCTGGACAGCTTTAACATCATTAACATTTTTGTAAGAAACATTATTTGTGTAATGTTATCTCTACTGGAGTTGGTCAGAGATGTATATGGGGAGATAGGTGAGATAGGAGATCAGGAGGGTGATGATTAGGCAGTGGTATATGAGGAACTGGGTAGGGAAGAGGAGGTGATAGAGTGGTTAGGAAATGTAATGTGGTGGAGAAAGGAGCTAGCTGGTCTGTAATGCCCTTGTAAAGAGTAGCTGCCTGGTGAGTGAAGGAAATTCAATCAGACATATTAACAGCTGCCATGTAAGTTTCAGCACAGAAAGACAACTGAATGATCAACATCTTTTGCTCATTTTAGGCCCGTGAGGTTCACAGATTCATTGCTCAGAGGGATAACCAAGATTTCACCAAGCAAGGTGTCCTGTGAGTTCTTTCCAAATAAAGGAAAACTAATTTACACTAAAGCTTATTAAGACTTTATATATAAATAAATATATATATATATCCTACCAAAAACCCAACTGAAGGACAATCTGTGATATCTTTCAAGAGAATTAGACAAATATTTGAAAAGGAAAATAAAAAGGAATGAAGAAAGAACAGAGGGAGGGAGTGGGGAGTAATTAAATCCAGATTGCAATTAATATGCATGTGGCTCCAATCCCTTTTAAGGGATGGAGTGCAGGTGTTTGGTCGGACTGCTCTCTTTCTGTGCTGTGAAAGTGTGATTCTGCCCACCTCTGTGAGCTGGGTTGTTCTCAAGTTAGCTCTCAGTTCAAATTTTATGATCAGCTCCAAATGGCTTAAACACAAACAGGTGCCATTTTCAAGCTTGGCTATGTTTGGTCCTGGTGTGTGTCCTGTTCTGTGGCACTTGGCTGCTGTGAGTGTTGGCTCAGCAGGCTGAGGCACACAATGCTTCCCAAGCTACTTGGTCCAGTCCTTCATTATCCCAACTGTTGGTAGTCTGTGGGCTGGACTGTGTGTGTTTCTTGTGGATACCCTATTTCTAACCATTCAGCTTGGTCCACTGCACAGAGCTAAAGAAAGGATGAGACTTTATCTCTTGAACACCATTTTCTCCCGAGCCAAGCCGCCAGCGACAATCCCACTTCAATAGCTGGAAGAGATCAGAGCCATTACATTAGTCTCTGAGCACGTGCAGATATGGGTGGGGGGGGGAAAGAGGATATCAGCATTGTCTATATCAGGTTCGATGTTATAGCTTAAACATGTTATGAAATGTCAGTAATTTGTTTGACAATTATCACTGGGCTCAGTAACTAGATTGACCTTAACTTTCAGCCACTACACCCCGAAACTCTGGAACTCCCTCCCTAAATTCCTCCACCCTGCTCTCTCTTGGCCTGTCTTCAGATCGCACCTGAAGACCCTTTTTTCTTGGACCATGCCTTTTGTCTCTGTCACTTTCTCCCTGTCCTCAGTGTCAAATTCTGTCTTTGTTAAGCACTCCCGAAAACCTAACCCGCTTGAAGGAGGCAATATTAAGGCACGTTGTGGTAGTTGTTAATTGCATTGAGAAACATTTTTACCCAACGTTGGGGTGTGATCCTGGTAATTTTGTGTGCTGGGTGAAGAGGAATCTGGCCTCTGCGGAGCAGTGTATGAGGGCAGTAAAAGAGGATTCTGATCGAATGGAGTCAATATCCTGTGACACTGAACCAGGAGGGAGCCACATGCACATTGCAATTTGGATTCTCACCTGTCGTACGAGCGATGCTGCTGCAGGACTGAGGTGATCTGGGAGCCGGAGTTGGGTGTGAGGTTGGATTCTGGAGGGATAACATTGAGCCAGGGTCTGGGGCACACAGAAAGGAAACAGAACATGAATACAAAGCCTGGTTTTATAATTTTTTTTCTGGTAATGAGAAATACTCTTCACTGATCAAGCTCTACCTTGTGTTCACCAGAGAATGTACTTATATTCACGCTGTAAAAATCAGACGAGAAATGTATAGATTATCACAAATGCCAATCCTTTACTTGCCAATGAACTCTTACCATCCCAGTGAGCAGCTCAAACAACAGGGCCCCAAGGCTCCACCAATCACACACTTCCGTTACTTCCAAAATACCACCAACCTCTGTCAAAAGGAAACGTTGAAAGACTCAAATCACAAACATCAGATTAGACTAAGTTGCAGTACAGGTACAGAGCCCTTAATAAGCCTTTGCAATGAAGAATGTTTCTATTTGCCTCTTTCCCGCACCATCCATTCCCTTCTGCTGTGGATTGTTCCAACTCAAGTCAGATTGGGAACTTAGACATGATAATGGATCCAACTAACTGACAATAGACAATGCTTCAAAACCTACCTTAAAAAAAACTCTCTTCTCTTCCCCCTTCACCCCCCCCCCACCCCCACAGCTTCTCCTATTCTGCTTGAGGTCCTACCCCATCTTTGAGGCATTCTTCATTGTGAAAAAAGCTATAAAAGTGTTTTAAGAATTTTAAAGTGAAGAATGTTTCTCCAGTCTCAAAAATCACTGCAGAAAGCTGTCCCAAATTTGGAAACACATTTAGGAAAGGCAACAAGGAGTGCAGGTGGACATATCAGATACTTGATAGAACCCAGAACCTTGCCTGAAGTTTACCCTTCTGAGCCTTGGGATAACTATGCAGTGGATTTATCCAACTGCTCCACTCCCAATTCAGTTTCTTTTCCCCCTTCCTGCCCTCACATTACGCAGCCTGGTTTGGGTACTCTTTTAGCATGGTGATAGGTCTCTGATGCCCAGCTGACCAAAAAGAAATATTACCTGGTGCACAGTACATATCCTCCACGGCTTTACTGCTACATTGAACCTCAACTTCACTCCATTGACCAAAGTAAGTCAGACAAACGTGACCTGGTAAGACAGCAAACAGCAGTATAACTCAGTGGAATCTGTGTGGTACAATGGAAATGCCAGTGTGGTAGGAAGGCAATGATCAAAGCAACAATCCCAGCTTGAATTTTCCCAGAAAAAACAAAGTAATCCCTGGCTTGGCATCAGGTCTGCCACTGTTAAGCGCTCCGAGATACCGTCAGGCATGAAGGGAGCAATATAATGCAGGTTGTTGTTGGTAGCACTCATTCTACAAACACACTATAAAAGGGGAATCCAGGAGGGAATACAATGGGGCTGCATTGCTGCCCAGTGTATGCCTCCCAACAACACAACAAGAGGAACGCTACAGGGAATCAATGTTGGCATCACTTCTCAATCCACAAAAGAAACAGAACATAAAGGAATCGCCACTCCCTCCAAAAAAGTTAACAACAACAAATGAGATTTGTATGGCGCCTTTCACATCGGGAGGACATCCCAAGGCGCTGGATCAACATCCAGATCTTTGACTTTGTACCAATGGCACACGGATGGACATTGACATGTGGCAGGTCTTTGCTTTAGGATTCTGTGGCCAGACAAATCTCTCCTGACTCTTCAAGTTCCCATCATTGAGGATTCATTTTCCATTCAAAAAATGCAACCAGGATATTTTGTTTAAAATGAAATGAATTAATCCAGCCAAGCAAGCATCCACATCTTTTTACCTTTTCAGCGCCTTGGTATGTCCTCCTGATATGAAAGGCACTATACAAATGTAATTGTCGTTTGTTGTTGTTTTACCCCTCTCACCTGAACTATCCAGAAGTACATTTCTTGGGTTTAGATCCTGACACACAATTCCCTGTTGATGTAGGCTTTCTAAGGCAAGGACCAGCTCGGCCACCCATACTCTAATTTGATCGTCCGAAAGTCCTGTGGAGGCCTGGCCAAAGGCAGGCAGCTCATTATTTGGGCAGGTAAATGGAGAAGGTAATGAAGACTGACCGCCCTCCACTGTGTGGGAATCTGAAGGCACTGGGACACTCCCACTCGCAGTTCTGCAAAGCTCAAAGTCTTTACCTGAAACCGCTCTAGAATCTGTTACCTTCTGATCAGAGTGAACGTGTGAGACTGGAACCTGGTTTAAAACATCAAATTGAGAGTTGGTTCTCAAATGACTGACATCTTCAAAATCCAGGTCCTCCTCAGTTGAAAGACCTTTCAGCTTTGACTTTCTCAGAGGCTCAACGATGGTTAAAGTGGAAGATCTCAGTTCTACGGAGGGTTGCTGAACAGTGTTGAGCACACTCACTGAAGTCTTCTGCTCAGACTGGCTCTTCCCTAAGACAGTGACAGCCGTGTTTCTGATGGATATTGCAGACGATGATCCTACAAGAATCACATCAGAGCTATCCAGAACCTGGTTGACCTTTCTATTATTCTCGATGGTTTCCAGGGGATTAACCGTAATTTGGTACAAACCCTTTCGTCCTTGCTTCACGTTAGCTTTCAGATTCAAGCTGGTAGCTCTAACAGGGCTTTTGATTGGGCTGGTTCCTCGCCGAGACTCATCATCAACCAATGAAGCTCTTTCTTTCAGTTGGCTTTCATGAGATTTTGCTAATTTGGATCTGGAGCCATCGCTCTCTGAAAAACAATCGTGGAACCTTAAAATTTTACTCTCATAGAGGAGTTGGTTCCTTTCACATTGAAGGTCTTTTTGCACCACACCATCCGCATGTATTGCCATCTTGTGGTTGGTGGTTTCGGCACTTTGAGTTAACTCTGCATCCTTCTCTGAAAACAACCCAGCTATGTCAAAGGTTACAGGACCTGTAAGCACCACTTGTGAAGCTGTCACCTCATCACGTCCCTTCAGACCATTCAAAGCCTTTGAAATTCCATTACATCCTTGCCAAAAATTCACTTTGTTCCCTCTCTCATCCCAACAGTGGTCTGTACCATTTTCTAGGAAAGCCGGTTGATCTTCCACTTGTCCTGGTTTAATCCACGACTCTGGGTCACTGGTGCCAGCACCTGTGTGTCCGCACTCTGTGTTGTGTTCTAGGTTATCCTTATTCTGGGGCTTGCCTGGCTGTTCACTGTGTGTGTGGGCGGTGAGGGCAGAGTGGTCATTGCACAGTAGTGCGAGAGTGGGTGCAGTGTAGCTGTTCTTCAGTTTAATGGTCTTGTGATGTGGACTGGAACATTCGGGAAATTCCATAACTCTCTCCAGACCCGGGGCCCGGAGGTGCCGCAGCTGAGACCAGAGCTTCCCTCCTAAACAGAACAAAGAGGAAAAACACAGCCAAATGTCGGGTGATGTATTGTTAACCTGAAAATGTATTCTGTTATACAGGCACCAGAAGTGACAAGAACTTAACAAGCAGCTGCGGAGAGGGGGAGGGGGGATTCCTGTGTTTTGGCTGTGATTTTGTCTATTCAGTGTGAAGGTTGGCAAAGTCACAATTGAGTTCCGTTCTAATACCTTTTTGTGATGACTGCCTTCTGTTTGAATTGTGCCACTGTCTGATTACAAACACAGAGATCCAGTTAGTCAGTATCAGGGTCACGTTTTAGCCTGGAATCTTCCTGTTTTATGACTCTAAATACCTCTTGCTTTCTGTTCACCAGTATTTAGGTTTCCCTCACTATTGCGAGTCTGGATATCCTGGGTTGGGATGTGCCCTGCTCAGCCCCTCTCCTATCCTTTACTTTACCTGCGACGTGCTCCAGGTGAAGGAAAACGGCATCGTCGCTGACATAGAACTGCAGGAGTCGCACCATAAAGGGCACGCCCTGTGGGATTATGGTCTGCCGCTCTCGATTCACCAAGCTGCATTTGGAGAGGCTCTTCAGAACACAACGAGAGGCAAGTTAGCATAGCGCTGCAACAGTTTTATTTTTCTCCTAAAATGTTAATTTCTCCTCCCCCCACCAATCTCAAATGCACATTCTGGGGTCCCCCAATTCTTGACTCATGCCATCCTCCAGGGATGAGAGCGCACTCCATCCCAACAAGGTATCTCTGGGATTTCCATATGTAGGTGGGATGCATGGAATTCTCAGCTTGGTTTGGATGTTCTTGAGCACGGTGATGGGCTTCTGCGTGTGTCAGACACCCACCCATCCAGGTAGAGACCTAAAATAAAACAATTAATGCTCTGGCAAGGGACAGTGACTTGCTTGCTCAAGAATGCCTCTCCCTATTCAGGTTAGGAGAATCCTGGGATTCCAGGGATCTCATATGGTAATGGTGCTCCCGAAATCCTAGTATTGCAATCCCTAAGTGGGAAGAGCTCATTTCCTTGCTCAGTGCTTACAAGCCTTACGTTTCACCTATCACTCCACAGCACGATGGAGAATCTTAAGCATTGTGATGCGACCGGATGTGTTAGACTGACCAGAAAAAGTGGTTTTGATGGCTATGGAACTGGACCCATCTACTCTAATATTCCTCTTCTCTTCCATTTTCTTTTATATTAAGTTCCCTCAGCTTGATGGAGAGTTTGAATTCTACTATTTACCTTGACTATGAAAGTTTCATTGCTGGATGGGTTCTGCACCAACAACACCTGAATGGAGACGGGGGTAAGTTAATGAAGAATTAATTATCCCACGGTAATGGGAAAAAAAATAAGATTTTAGCCTCACTACATTAGCAAGCGTACTGCTGCTGCATTTTACCATGTGTTCTTCAGTAAGTGACGATCACACATTCAAACTTAATGCACAATCCATTTGATATAGGTTGTTAATTGCAATAAACACAAAGGTAACTAGGGGAATCAATTTACGATCATTACCAAAAAGAAGATAAGGAGAAATTATTTCGCACACAGAGGGTTATCAGAACATGAAATCTGTCACTGAAGCATAATCTATAATAGTTATTTAAGAGGAATTAGATAAATAATGGAAAAGATAGATATAAAATGGTATATACAGGGTAAGGGGACTGAATAGATATTTCTTTCAGAGAGCCAACCAACGTACAAGATACAATCAGTGATTCTAGGTTGTATTAAATCCAGTGGTGTGGAACACTACCATTAATGATGAAAAGCTGTATTAAATACATGGTTTAATCATTACATGTTAACATTCCTGGTCCAGCGAATTCAAAACAATAGTTACCTTGTCAATGACTGCAATGACCTTGGACATTTTTAGATTCTCCACCGGGGAGCTGAGAATTCGAATCGGTCGAAACCTCAGACTGCTGAAACCCTACGGAGGGGAGAATGTATGTTAGACCAAACCAAACAAATGTTTTATTTATTGTCTGCTGTGTTAAATCTCCTATCTTTTCTTTTGGATTCGCTCAGCTGGGGCCCCCCCCGGTCTCGTTAAATAGGCGAGCTACTCGCTCAGCGCTGTCCAGTACACAGATAGCAGCTCACAGCCATGCTTGGCAGCAGAGTATGCAGCACCAATGCTGAGTGACAGTTTAAACTGGAATATCGCTGTTTCGTTGATCTGGAGATCAGAACAGTTGAAAGAAAGATTGGAGACTGGCTACACTGCAGGAATGGGAAATCACCTTTCCCAGAATCAAAGCCAGAGCTTTAATCCTGCCAGATCAGTATTACTAACGTTAGTGAGATGTCAGGAACCGTGCGGTTCATGTGCTCTCAAGTCCTACCCCAGTATGATCGGCACCGTTCTCCTGTAAGTGAGAGTTGAATATCTCCTCTGCTCGCTTTAGATATTGAGTTGTTTTCCGCTTCACTGCTTCACGCCGTTCTTTGTTGGGGTCGACTGCAGAAAGGGGGAGAAACCAGAGCAAGTTCAAATCTACGAGCAAGACAGTGTGAGCAGCAGGGCATTTTTTTATATATAAAGTGATGGGGAAAATCCCCGCCAGCCTCAAGTAAATTCCCCTTCCATAATAATAAAGGTAATGGCAATTTCCTCGGCAGTCGGCAAATGGTGACTGTTTAGGCAGTTTTTACAGAATTTTAGGTAAATTTTACCAAATATTATTTGATAATTAAAGATAATGTATGATTATTATTCCTACTTTCATATTATTTGAATCATCCTAAGGTTTCAAACAAATACATGAAGCATTGCTTTGTCTGTAGAAATCGTTTTTTAATGCTTCTGTGTTTGGGATAAAAGTGCCCCTACAGGTTACTATAGGATTTCCTTTTTCCCTCTCCCATACAATGAGGCCATTCACTTTTGCTCAGAGAGGTAAGAGAGTCAGGGGGAGAAGAGGGTCACAAATTCTCATTCAATCTCTGATGCTGCCTCCACAACTGAGCAACTGAATCAATGCTCACAAGAGAGACAGATCACATCTCCTTACACAAGGTGTAACACAAGAGGACTGAGGCACAGCACTCCAGGCGTGAAATGTCACCTAGGATTAGCCAGGGAGACCATTTTTTCTTACATTTAAAATTTACGATGCCCACAATTGTGGAAATTTCTTAAACTCCGTCTTCATTTGGAAGCCGGTTTCTTAAACCGTAGTTTCTTAATAGTATATACGCCTTATCGTTCACTGCCGCCTGATAAATCTGGTTTCACCAGAAAACTACACCTTGCACTCCCTTCAAGAGCAGGTCCACGCCATTCTTGTAATAGTTAAACGCTGCCTGGTAATCCTCGTTCACCTCCCTGTCCAGGGCTAAGCGGATCTGTTTTGCGGCATCGACCAGGTAGTCGCGCTTGGTGGCTGTGCTTCGAGTGGCCGGCTGGCCTTCCTGGGCACTAGGGTTCACTCTGCTCCGGATCTGCTCCAGGTAAACACGAGCCTGGGACAGTGGGCGAGCGCAGGGCTCAGGCTCCTGCACTGGGGACCCCTCTCTGGATAGGCTGTGCATGGCCCACCTCTTTGGGTCGGGGAGGATGGGGAGGAGGGTGTGTCAGGGCTGTTCGGTGCTCAGTCTGGTAGCATCAGTGCCATTGCTGCTGGGGAGTAAATAAACCAACTCAGTGCGTGCACCACAGGACCAATAAAAAAGGAACATGTTGAAACTGTAATTTGTTCATAATAATCTAAGTGCAATGTTAGTCCAACCAATGTTAACAACAAATGTGTCCGGCTATTGTCCCCAAAGTGCCTAAACCCCAACTACAAAACTCCAGTTCCCTACTCCACCGTCCCTGCAGCCTTTAATAATAATAATCCTTGCATTTGATATGTAATTAGATAGTTTAGATCATTTTCTTTTAGGAATTAACATTATGGGATACAGTAAATAGGTAGTTCAGGACATATGTACATGTGACCGCCAGGAAGTTGGAAGGCGAACTAGATGGACCTTGGTCTTTTTTCGTCTAGCATTTCTTATATAGGGCTTTATCATGTGGCTGAGACTTCTCAAAGCTCTTTGCAGAATATACTGTAAAGTGAATTGACTGTATATTCTCGCCTAGCAAGCGAGAGACCTGGGTTCGATTCCCGGCAGGGCGAAACCTTGGGCAAGTTTCCACGCTTACTCCACACGCCTGATAATAATCCCTCAAGAAAAAAACCAATAATAAATTGGTTACTTCAATCCATGACTATTTGTGGGATGCTGTGCTGTGCAATTGGCTGCCGCGTTTCGCCCACAAATATATGGTCAATCGACTTTATAATCTATTCTGTGAAGCGCTTTGAGACGCCTAGAAGACGTGAAAAGAGCTATAACAAATGCAAGGATTACTATTATTATTATTCTGTGGCTGAAACTCGGCAGCCAATTGTGCACAAATGATGTGAATAAAACGTTGGTGTCAGATTAATACTGTTAATAATTATAGGCTGTTTTGTGCAGTGACCTAGGTGGTTCAGGGCCAAATTAAACACAGATTTTCCAAATGGATCAATAGGACACAACAGGAGAAAAAATAGGAAAAAACATGAGGTTTATAAAGTGCATAAGGAGAAGGAAGACAATGACCATGTGGGTAAAACAAGTGGGAGGAGAAGCAGCAAAATATAGTGATTAAATATTCTTCCAAAGTTACAATAAAGTTTGCAGTTGCTATACACAGAGGGGAATTACCACCTGGAAAGTGTTAGCAGGAAGAGATGAGACTGAAATTCCCCGCCTGCACCCAGTAAACATACCATGCATTTTTTTGATTAAAAACTTTAACTGATGCAAGGGGAGGGCGGGGGGCGGGGGTGGAGAACGCAGGAAGAATCATTTTGCAGCAAGGAATTTTCCAAATACGTGAATGTTTAAACCGTCCCCTAAGCCGGCTTTAACACAGTGTGGAACCTCCACTCATGTGACCGTCATCAATGCAGAGACATACAAGGGATAAACATCACAGCAACAAGAACAAACACAATGGCTTACGGGTGGCTGCAGCCGAGGTAGCATTTCCTAACCATTCGGTCCCTCGCCGTCTCTCGGAAAGACATCTGTTTGTCCATCGTTTCTTACGGATCATACAATGTGGAAAGAGTTGCTCTGCATCTGATAGAAACAAAAAAAATCCCACAGCTATAAAATCTCAACCCTACAGCCATGTTTGGGGCCCGAGAAAGGGAGTGGAGAGAGACCTGTAGCTTTATATATAGTGGAAGGAGGATAGACCTTTACTGAAAATAATTTATATTGAAGCCATCTTGATGTTCATCATAAAGACAGCACACCAAAGTGGGTACATTGTTGTCTAACCTATCAAATCCTCTCATGATCTTGAAGACCTCTATTAGGTCTCCTCGTAACCGTCTCTGCCCCAATGAGAATAATCCTAACCTCTCTAGCCTTTCCTCATCATCAAGATCCCTCAAGGAAGGCAACATAGGCGGTAATACAATCTTAAGGGGGGTGAAAGAACAGAGAGACCTGGGGGTTCAGGTAAATTAATCCTTGAAGGTGGCAGGACAGGTAGATAAAGCTGTAAAAAGGGCATATGGGATACTAGGCTTTATAAATAGGGGCATAGAGTACAAGAGTCAGGAGATTATGATTAAACGATATAAAACACTGGTTAGGCCTCAGTTAGAATACTGCGCCCAGTTCTGGAAGGATGTTAAGGCATTGGAAAGAGTGCAGAGGAGATTTACGAGGATGGTACCAGGAATGAGGGACTTTGATGATGAGGAAAGGCTGGAGAGGTTAGGATTAGTCTCATTGGAGCAGAGAAGGTTACGAGGACCTAATAGAGGTCTTGAAAATCATGAGGGGATTTGATAGGTTAGAAAGGGAAAAACTGTTCCCACTGGTGGGAGTGTCGGTGACTCGAGGTCACAGATTCAAAATAGTCTCTAAAATAAGCCGAGGGGAGGGGAGAAGGAATTTTTTCACACAGCGAGTTGTTCGAATCTGGAAGGCATCGCCTGAAAGGGCAGTCGAGGCCGATTCAATAACTACTTTTAAAAACGCGGTGGACGGGTATTTGAGGAGGACGGGTTTGCGGGTTATGGGGAAAGGGCCGGGAGTGGGATTGACATTACATTGCTCTCAAAGAACCGGCACAGACTCGATGGGCCGAATGACCTCTTTTTGTGCTGGAAGATTCTATGATTCTCAGCCTAGATTACGGAGCAGTGTTGGAGAGAATCTGGCCCATTTGTCCAACATCCCTTAATCCAGCCATGTTGGGACAGTGACATTCCACATCAGGTACATCACAGTATCTTCACAGGCCACTGCTCTGTGCTTTAGGTCAATTTGTGGATGTCTTGGCCCTTCTTGAATTCTGGAATTGGATATTTGACTAAGCTGCTGCGGTTAGGAGGCGCATAGTTGGGATATATAGGCACATAATGTTCAGAGAGTTTATGTATGGGGGAGGGGGGGAGAGAATAACACCTTTATCAACCTCTGCTCAAGTTCACCTTTCCCATTAATTTTCCTCTGATGTTTATCCTCCTAAATGCATGATGCCTATCCTTCCGACGTAAAAGGCGCTGTATAAGTGTAATTTTGTTGTTGTTGTTGTACCCATTTATTAAAACTGATAAGTCACTCTGCCCCCACCCTCTGGAACTCCATCCCATAGTCCCTCCGCCTCGCCTCTTTCCTTGCCAACTTCAAGACCCTTCTCTTCGACCATGCTTTCGATCACCCTCATTCCCACCCTGCCCTCCACCCTTCTCAATCCCAACCTCCAGCTCAGGTTTGAAACAGACTGTCCAGTGCCTTGGAACATCCTCCCAATATGATAGGCGCTATACACATGTAATTTTGTTGTTGTTGGTCTTTCAGGTTCCTGTTATTGGTCTGTTGTACAATCGAGTACTGGCTCCCCAAACCCCTTTACCATGCACCTTCTCTATCTGCCTTCAATGCTCTCTTAAAACAATCTCTCTCTCACAGACTAGGTCTTTGCTCAAGAGCTCCCCCACCTACCTTTCCTCCTTGCTTGGTGCTATACGTTGTTTAGGTGACGTGCTTTATGACGTTCATCCTACATGAATGGGATTCATACAAATGCAAGTTGTTGCTCAGTTCAGGGCACGACTCGCCACAACCTGAGACAGTCTATTGAGAGTTTGGATTTAATTCTAAAAATCAGACGGGAGATCACAATTGCAAATGTGTACAATACAATTTACATTTACACAGCACCGTTTCATGTTAGCTTGACACAGCTGGGGGGGGGGGGGGGTGGTGCGGGTGGGGGCCGAAGAGAGGGGGAGGAGACAGAGGATCGAAAGAGGTCCGTGTAGCTCATTCAATACAGAGAGAGTTAACAGCGAAGATCATGACATCTGCTGTGAGGAGGTGAATGAATGACGAGCACCAAAGCCCAGTACTCCTCCCACACATACACACAGGCAGTCAATTGGCCACTGGTGAGGTTATCCTCGCAACCGTCACAGACAGCCACCCACCTGTGTGCATCTCCTGCTCTGACATGGAGCTGAGTTCCAAGGAACAGAACAAGGGACACTGTAATAGAACAGAACGAGCCCTGTGACAATCAATCTCGCATTGTTTTACAAAATGAATCTGCAACTGCGATTTACAAACCCACTCTTGTGGGAATAATATAACCCTCCTATCTTTAGGGCTCCACTCAGCATTCCAAGCAGTGTATGTCAGCGGCCAACCTGCCGTCCAGACCTTTTATTAGTGCTGTTGCTTTATGAGCAACTACTATGAGACTGTGATTCAAGCCAATATTTTATGCTTCCACCCCCACACCCGGCCTATCCCTCAGTCCAAATGAGATTGGGGACTTTTGGGTGCGACCTCCATTTTGTGCTGCTGTACTCTAGTACAGTGCATTTACTATTTGGTTAATGACATGCGCTGCCAGGCGCCCCGATAATCTGAACCAGTTCCTATCACTCGTAGCAAACCGATAGCCTCACTTGTAGCTCTGAAACACACACTATACTTAATCCATCAGTCTCTTGTGCAGAGTATCTCCTATTAACTGTAGCACAAAGGAAACTATTGTCACTTTTGACAGCTCGATGGAGTTTTCGCGTTGCCATTCATACAATTTTGGGGGGGACTAAGACTAAAATAGCATCAGTAAGGTGACATCGAACATCACATTATATTGTTATTATATCACATTATATTATTATATTATATTATATATTATATTATATTATACATTATATTATATTATAACGAGGTTGTTATATTTGTTGCCAGTATTTTCAGTATTTTGCAGTCTGGACACATCAAAACCTTTTAAAGACCTAGATCTTGTTTTTGTGACAGTGAAACAAATCCTGTTAGTTGAAATATGCTTCGTTCTACAGCACCAAGTCCTGATTACCCATTGCTCTTCACTGAGCTTTTTCCAATACAGTAATGTTTGAAGGCCATTGGGCTCCCAATTTTTGAGTCAAAAGGATTAAAATATTTGGTTCCACACATTTATCAAATGCCTTTTGTATTCCAGTACTCAAGTAAACTTTCAGAAAAGTTTCTCATTGACTGGATACTTTCAATAAATCAACAATAACACTATTAAATCTTTCTCTTTATCCAATGTTTATATTGGACTGGTGATTCCTGTTTCAACTTACATTTAATCACATTAGAAGTCCATCTGCCATTCCTTAGTTCATGCATCAAATTCACCCCAACCCACTGAATGCCATCAATCAAAATGCAACATAAGCAAACTATTGGTTCCTACTCATGAAATGCTGCTAATCTGTTCATTATGGAAAAGCTCACTCATCTCATCCCCGTCCCCCCATCCCCTCCAAAAAAAAGTCTAAAAGTAAACACACACAAAACAATATTTGGAAAAAATTTAACAACAGCAACCTCTTTTGAAATGTTATAAACCACTGAAGTGTTGCATTCGGGTTTGGGATTCCAGCCTGTAACACACCCCAATCGTCCATTACTCTATACAGAAACCAAAATTCCACCTTGACTTAGTTGGCCTAAAAGACCATTCTGTCTAAAACTTCAGGATTGCGGAGAAACGTTTTTAATTTGGAAGCTGCTTCGTTTGAAGAACTGCGGTGAAATGGCTTCCAAGGTTCCAAATGTTTCACAATTCTCCAGAATTTCACATTTTAAGTTAAAATGGTCCTACAGACCGAGACTTCAGTGGATCTTTTCAATGTGTATTAGAACACTGTGCCAACAACTGCTAGCAATTATAATTATTGAATACTAAGGAGGGAAATCCAGCACCATGAAATTCTGGGGCTCATTATAAAACAGGCAACAGTCAGTTATTAAAGCGACCCTGACTTGATATAATTCTGTATAGGGTACAGAAATGCCAATAACTTACTATCCTAATTTTAATTTGCCAATGACACTCAGTAGTCCGGTTCTTGAGCCAGACGATTCCAGAGTACTCCAGGGTACTGCTGATAATAGCCAAGGAATGTCCTGGTTCATTGGTAGGACTTAGAGGGGCAAGGATTCTTCCACTCAACTCCTGTTAATCCTGAAGCCAAAGCCCTGAGGGTGGACTTAGCAGGACAAGCAGTGGAAAAGCTTGCCAGACGGCACTTTCAAAGCTATGTGGTTTTAGACGGTTAACCGCCAGCGGTACCCAACCCTTGGTTCTTGCTCGCCTGCACCCAATACTCTCTGGAATTAGATACGCAGGATTCATCGCTGCAGGGAGAGCGAGTGCGTATTCCAGACACAGTGATGGGTTTTCATTTGTGTCAGACGCCTGGCTGACCAAATAAAATACAGCACTCACATTGAAAGTCCTCCAATAATAATAATAATAATCCTTGCATTTGATAAAGCACCTTATCAACTCATTGAGAATCTCAAAGCACTTCACAGGACATACTCTAAAGTGAATTGACTGTATATTAGACTTGGATTTGTTAACCCACGTACAGAAACAATCCCTTACATTGCAATAATAACTGATAAAGGGGCAGTGATGTCCCTTGAAAAGACGGTCTGGAACATTTACCCATTTATCAGATCGCATCAACAAGTCACTTGAACGTAGGGCGAACGTAACAAAATGGCACATTGCCTTTTGTCAATCACTGGACCTGAAAAGCTGTATAAAACAGTTTTTATCAAGTCCGATTATTTTTTTTAAAAAAGTCTGTTCGGAGCTGCATCAACTGTATTAAATAGTGTTGATTTGCTAAATCTTACGGTGACACACACAGTGTTACTGCCACTCTCTCGCTACCGTTTCTCCTTCTCCCTCAGAGGGAGCAGCGCTGATTGCAGACTATGGCCCCAGAGCGACTTCGTGTCACCCACAAGGAACAACAACAACAACAAGATTCCATTTATAAAATGCCTTTCACGTCGGGAGGACGTCCCAAGGCGCTGGACAGTTGGGTCGGGACCCGAGCAGTGGGGAAATGGTCAGGGTGAGGGGAGGGAAGGGAGGGAGCAAGGAGGGGAAGGGAGGGAAGGGAGGGAGCGAGGAGGGGGAAATGGTCAGGGTGAGGGATGGGAGCGAGGAGGGGGGGGGGGGGGGGGGGGGGGGGGGGGGGGGGGGGGGGGGGGGGGGGGGGGGGGGGGGGGGGGGGGGGGGGGGGGGGGGGGAGGGGGGGAATGGTCAGGGTGAGGGGAGGGAGCGAGGAGGGGGAAGAGAGTCGAGAGGGGAGCTGAAGGCACGGGGACCGGTCCTCATTTATTTCAAAAAATATGAATTATAAATGACACCGAGTTCTTCTCACTGCGGCAAACACACGTTTGCTCCACACCGATCACCGTACAACGTGTTCACTTGACATGTCCCCCCCGTCCCCCCCGTCCCCACTCCCCAAAAACACCAAACAGTAAAACCTTTAACATTGACGCAAAACAAACCTGTCTGAGTGGATTGGCCCCAATGTCACAATGTTTGTTCACATCAGTGAATAAAATGAGCTTTTCTGAAAAAATAAAAATCCAGTGGTGGCTGCTGTGGGTGTCAGACAGACAGACAGACAGACAGACACAGACAGACAGACAGACAGAGACACAGACAGACAGACAGACACAGACAGACAGACAGACAGACAGACAGAGACACAGACAGACAGACAGACACAGACAGACAGACAGACAGACAGACAGACAGACAGACAGACAGACAGACAGACACAGACAGACAGACACAGACAGACAGACAGACAGACAGACAGACAGACAGACAGACACAGACAGACAGACACAGACAGACAGACACAGACAGACAGAGACACAGACAGACAGACAGACAGACAGACAGAGACACAGACAGACAGACAGACAGCGGCACAGACAGACAGACAGACAGACAGACAGACAGAGACACAGACAGACAGCGGCAGTGGGTGATGTGATGTTGGGACCTTCTTCACTTGTCGCCGTTACAGTGTATCACAACTGCAACTGTGTCACCATCACCGCTCCACTGCCGCCTTCCTCCCTCCTCCTCCTCCCCTCCTCCTCCTCCTCCCCTCCTCCTCCTCCTCCTCCTCCTTCCTCCTCCCTCCCTCCTCTTCCTCCTCCTCCTCCTCCTCCTCCTCCTCCTCCTCCTCCCTCCTCCTCCCTCCTCCTCCTCCCTCCTCCTCCCTCCCTCCTCCTCCTCCTCCTCCTCCTCCTCCTCCTCCTCCTCCTCCTCCCTCTCCTCCCCTCCTCCTCCCTCCTCCTCCTCCTCCCCTCCCCCTCCCCTCCCCTCCCCTCCTCCTCCCCCTCCCCTCCTCCCCCCCTCCTCCCCTCCCAGTGGATCACCTTAGTCCACACTCTCACCTCCTCTCCGATGAGCCTTTCTCCTGATCCCTCACACACGGGTTTCTGTTATCCCATTATATGTTTCCCGATCCCGATCCTCCCGGAGCCGCTTTACGGCAGCGCTGTGAAGATAGGACATCCCATCTGTGGCGAGTGGCAGCCCGGGGGGGGGGGGGGGGGGAGAGGGAGGGAGGGGAGGAGAGGAGGAGGGAGGAGGAGAGAGGGAGGAGGGGAGGAGGAGGGAGGGAGGGAGGGAGGGAGGGAGGAGGAGGGGAGGGGCAGTGACTGGCGGTGCTGTGGGCATTGGGAGTCACTGACTTCCCATCTTGTTATTCTTTGTTAAAGGTGGTTCCTTTGGAGGGGCATTTTCGGGCAATAATAATAATTGCATTTGATATAGCGCTTTTCACGTCTTCTCGACCACAGAACACACTGTAAAGTGAATTGACTGTATATTTGTGGGGGAACGCGGCAGCCAATTGCGCACAGCAATGTCCCACAAACAGTCGTGGATCGAGAATGACCAATTTATTATTGTTTTGTTTTTGGAGGGATTATTATTAACAATGAGTTACTTTGCACTGAAGACCCTTTCCTCGCCCATCTTATTAATAATAATTAATATTATTATTATCTATAGATGGTAACTAAAGACCTTCCTCTTCGACACCGCCTACAGTCACCCCCGTCCACCCATCTCCGGCTCTTCGTCAAGTCCCACAGCTGTTAAGCGCTCCGATTCGGTACCCCAGGTGAGGAGTGCCGCATAAATGCAAGTTGTTATTTGCATGCTAAATAAATATTAATAACAACTTAATAATAAATAAACTAACTAAATCATTAATAACTTGCACTTATATAGCCTCAACTATTAAACGGATGAATCCCTGATGGGAAATGTGGTGTCATAATTGCCGGTTGTATCTATCTAATGCCACACATTTATTTGACTAAAAGTTGTAATTTTCTAAACGAATACCCCGAACACATTTTAGCTGCAGGCTGTTTCAAGACTCCCAAATGATATACTTCAGCGCCATTTTTAAAGCATGAGTCTCACAGAGCAATAGTGTATAGTGACAAATATAATAATCCTTGCATTTGATATCACCCATTGTCGTCTTACTTGAATGTCTCAAAGCGCTTCGCAGTGTTTACTGTTAGAAACCTGGCTGGCGGTCACCTCAGTAATCCGGCCAGCTCACAGCTGTGGGCACATTTTCACAGTCTCTTTCATTGTCAATGTTAAACGATAGGCTGTAGGCTTCGCTACTAACCTGTACACAGTGCACTGGGCCTCGGGCTTCTCGTGCTGTTTCCTCAATGCTGCCACTGTGGGCAGAGAGGGCTCCGGTCAGGCATATGGGGGCACCGGGAGTGTCGGGATCGCAGAAGCAGCACCAGCAGAAAATTGACTTTGCCTGACACCCAAACCTGAGCTCCTGTGACCAATTCCCGGTGAGTGCTGCGTTCAGAGAATATAGTTTGTGTGTACTTTGTTTTGATTTAGTGACTGTTGACAAGTGTTGTAAACATGCCACCACGCAAGGAGTTGTCCTTACATCAGAGAGTGGACTAAATCAAAAACAGTGAGGGCAAAAGCCATAGACAGTTTTAGCCGTGATCTATGGCACTGGCAGAACACAAGTTGGATGCATTCTCAAAGGGTGGGCTGAATACATGACAGCTTCTGTTTTAAATGTGACAATGCCTTTATTTTAATGAGATTGCAAAGTACGGTTGTTGAAGGCTCATCACCCTCACCCATTACCAATGCCCTTAATAGTACATCAGTGACCTGAATCATCCGACCTGTTTCAGTAATCGGGTCACCTCACTAAGTAGATCACTTTTGGACAGTCACTTGAGTGACAGGATTTGTGAGGTTCTACTGTATTTGTAGGCAAATGCAGCGGCCCATTTGTCTACAACAATAACACACAGACATGGAGTGTATGATCAATTTTATATATTATCTTGTTTTATAATCTCACATTGACTTTTAACAGGTTTTATTATTGCAATATTATTTCCCATCTCCCGGACAGTAGTCACAGAGTTGGGAGTAGCATTCACATCACTGCACTCTTCCAATGCCTCACCAAATATATGCATTTTGTGGTGTGATACTGAGCAATACATAAGAGGAAGACATTTGATACAGCAGATTTACTATGAAATATAATGATCGCATACTTGTAGGCAAATGCCACAGCCAATTTGCCTACAAAGGCCCCACAAACAGCCACAAAGTGAATGACTGACTGATCGGAGAACACGGAGAGAAACTCCCTTCTCGATTTGCATTCACAATGGGATCTTTAACATTCACCTGAATAAGCAGTTGGGACCTTTGTACACAGTTCTTTTCTGAAGCCCTTTTTTTCCAATTGCATCATATAATGCAATTGCCTCCTTCAAGGCACATCTCAGTAAGTGTTCAAGTATAAGATTGCGAGTAGGAGAGAAGAGAAGATTGGGAGAAATTCTATGGAAAAAAGGCTTTAGATGTTTAACCTTCAGGTTGACATGTGAAGTGTTTACAGAATGAGAAGGCAGAGGGGTCACAGGGCCACAGAGCCCAGGGTATGACTCACCATATTCAGTAAAGGAGAAAAAACGCAAACAATTGAAGAGGTTAAAGAACCCTTTCAGCTTTTTTGTTTATTTTTTGCTTATTTGTACATAAATGATATCATCGGTTTCCATCTAAACAGCCGTGTACTGTCAAATTCAGGAAAAACAGCAGAAACTTGCGTGGATCTGATGGGGACGCGGTCTGAGACGAGTCTGGATCCTGGAGAGGGAAGGTCAGGGAAGGGAGAGGAGAGAGAGAGAGAGGTTGTGGGGCCTTCACCTCAGCGGTGACCTTCCCACCAAATCCCTCGGACCCCGCGGCCACCGCTCCGGGGGCATAAAATGGCGGCCCCGCGCATGCGCCTGGGAGGGGCGGGGCGGGCCTTGGGGGTCGGGCCTGGGAGGGCGGGGCGGGGCTGGGGGCCTGGGGGGCGGGGCGAGTGTGGGCGGGGGCGGGACGAGTGTGGGCGGGGCTGGGGGGCGGGGCGAGTGTGGGCGGGGCCAGTTTGGGCGGGGCGAGTGTGGGCCGGGGCGGGGCGAGTTTGGGCGGGGCTGGGGGCGGGGCCAGTTTGGGCGGGGCGGGGCTGGGGGCGGGGCGGGGCTGGGGGCGGGGCGTGGCGCCGCGCGGCCGTTTGGATTTCAAACCAGATTTCGTTTTTTTAAAAAAAAACCGTTGAACCGTTGAACGCGCCCTCGCGCCGCGCACTCGGGGCGCACTGTATGGGATGGACCCAAAGAATTCAGGAGTATAACGTGTGACTGCTTTAAAGGCTCTGAACGCCGCTCCTGCGCTGTCTGTCCGGGGGGTCACCAGCGGCGGTCACACCCCGTTATTGTAAAGTGAACCCCAAAATACAGTGCATTTTTCAGGCGGAATGGAGTGGATCCCAATAAACCTTATCATAGCCATGAAACTGCTGCTCTCGGAGGCAGATTACTCCCTGAACATTATGGGTATGTTGGAGTTCCTCTTCGGTTGTTTACCGTTACAGTGCGCGGCCTCGGGGTTTTGTGATGGACGCCAACCTTTTTAAAACACGTTGGGCCGCGGTGGTCGAATGTTCTGTACAACGTGACATATTATTATTATTATTATTATTATTTTAATGGCGTAGGTGTTAAACACCGCAGGTCCGGGAAGCGTTTGGTCCCTTATTTCACGGCACAAAACCTCACCGTTCCGGGTTTCGGAGTCACGTGTCTAATTTCACGTGTGATGGGTGTGACATTGTAAACGATGGCGGTGTATTGGGGGGGAGTCGCGTTTCGGGAGTACTTTGACCCCTAAGTTGTTGTTGTTGTTGTGTGTGACCCTAAAGTTGACTATTGGGGACCTCTCTCCTCGTCGGCCTTCCCCCTCCCTCCCTCCCTCCCTCCCTCCCTCCACACTGCCGGGCATCCAGAACTCTGCAGCTCCTGTACTGTCCCACACAGACACCGCGACCACATCACTCCCACTCCCACCCCCACCCCCACCCCCACCCTCACCCTCACCCCTCACCCTCACCCTCACCCCCACCCTCACCCCCACCCTCACTCCCACCCTCACTCCCACCCCCACCCCCACCCTCACCCTCACTCCCACCCTCACCCTTGCCCCTCGCCCTCACTCCCCGCCCACTCCCCCTCACTCCCCACCCTCACCCTCACCCCCCCCCCCCTCCGCCCTCACTCCCACCCTCACCCCTCACCCTCACCCCCACCCTCACCCCACCCCACCCTCACCCCTCACTCCCACCCTCACCCACCCTCACTCCCACCCTCACCCTCGCCCTCACCCCCACCCTCACCCCCACCCTCACCCTCACTCCCACCCTCACTCCCACCCTCACTCCCGCCCTCGCCCTCACTCCCACCCTCACTCCCACCCTCACTCCCACCCTCACTCCCACCCTCGCCCTCACTCCCACCCTCGCCCTCACTCCCACCCTCGCCCTCACTCCCACCCTCGCCCTCACTCCCACCCTCGCCCTCACCCTCACTCCCCCCCTCACCCTCGCCCTCACTCCCACCCTCGCCCTCACTCCCACCCTCACCCTCGCCCTCACTCCCACCTTCACTCCCACCCTCGCCCTCACCCCCACCCTCACCCCTCCTGCCCTCGCCCTCACTCCCGCCCTCGCCCTCACTCCCACCCCTCACCCTCACCCCTCACTCCCGCCCCTCGCCCTCACTCCCCACCCTCACCCTCGCCCTCACTCCCCGCCCCTCGCCCTCACTCCCGCCCTCCGCCTCCCCTCACTCCCACCCTCACCCTCGCCCTCACTCCCGCCCTCGCCCTCACTCCCGCCCTCGCACTCCCTCCCTCGCCCTCACTCCCACCCTCGCCCTCACTCCCACCCTCGCCCTCGCCTTCACTCCCACCCCCTCGCCCTCACTCCCACCCTCACCCTCGCCCTCACTCCCACCCTCGCCCTCACTCCCGCCCTCACCCTCACTCCCGCCCTCACCCTCACTCCCGCCCCTCGCCCTCACTCCCGCCCTCGCCCTCACTCCCACCCTCACCCTCACTCCCGCCCTCGCCCTCACTCCCGCCCTCGCCCTCACTCCCGCCCTCGCCCTCACTCCCGCCCTCGCCCTCACTCCCGCCCTCGCCCTCACTCCCACCCTCGCCCTCACTCCCACCCTCGCCCTCACTCCCACCCTCGCCCTCACCCTCGCCCTCGCTCGCCTCCACTGGCTTCCCATCCCCCAGAGGATCGAATTCAGGATCCTCATCCTCACCTACAAGGCCATTCACGGCCTCGCTCCCTCCTACCTCTCCGACCTACTATCCCCCCACGTACCCCCCGAACCATCCGTCCCTCTGGCTCCGGTCTGCTCCACATCCCCCGCCCCAACCACCCGACCATCGGTGGCCTTCAGCCTCTCAGCCCCCAGGCTCTGGAACTCCATCCCCAGTGCCTTCGCCGCTTCCTCCCTTTCCTCCTTCAAGGCCGGTCTCAAGACCTTTGTCTTCAACCGTGCCTTCACCTCCCCTCTCGACTCTCTACCCCCTCCTCGCTCCCTCCCCTCACCCTGACCATTTCCCCCCCTCCTTGCCCCTCCCTTCCCTCCCCTCACCCTGACCACCCCCCCCCTCCTCACCCCCTCCCTCCCCTGACCATTTCCCCCCCAATGCTCGGGTCCTGACCCAACTGTACAGCGCCTTGGGACGTCCTCCCGACGTGAAAGGCGCTCAATAAATGGAATCTTGTTGTTGTTGTGTGGTGACCCTAAGTTGTTGTTGTTGTGTGTGACCCTAAGTTGTTGTTGTTGTGTGTGACCCAGAGCGCGGGAACGCCAGGTTTCAGTGCGGGACGGCAGCGCAAGGGTTCCAGCAGCTCAGACTGTTCCTGGATCTGGAGAAACTGGTAATGCCCATCGAAGGGTAGTGAACAGAATCCCCTCCTCACTGTTTATCGCTGCACAATTAATTAACTTTGCTGAAAAACAAAAATTATCTGATTTTTTTTTTTAAAATTGTTATCTTCTCAACGGTTATGTTTGGCAGCTTCTGTATGTGTGTTTGTCGGATACTCGTCAAACCCAGTCGTGCTTCAGTAAACGTGCTCTCTATCGATCGCAAAGATTATTATTTTTATCATTAAATATATTTTAGCTCTTCCTGTGCATTAAAATCAAATTCTAATCAATATTGTTGCCGAGATGCCAACACTTTTTTTGCTTTGAAATGTTTAAATGACCTTTGTAACAAACTCTTTTTCTTTGCAGAGTACGAGTTGTAATTTGCACTCCATACAAGAAACAGATGTACAAAGCTTGAAAACAATTGTGCCAATATATTCCAGTTTAGGATTGATTCCAACCTTGGAGATATATAACAGAACTACTAAATTTGCCTTTCTCTTTGACAAGCTCTTGGTAAAACTTTTATTTCTATGTAAAATATACATGGCATCTTTTTAGAGCAAGAAGACATACAAATTGAAATTATAGTTTTAAAATCATCCATGGATGAGTGGAGGTATGAGGCGGTGTATATACCTGCTCTCCCTCTTACACATGCATGCAATGTACTTTTAGTGAGCCCACATGACCGAAAAGGTACCGCTTGGCAGGTCGGAAAGTATAAATACACTCTGTAATCATCTACGTATATACATATATACACATATTATCCTATGTATATATATATATATGCATTCTAGCTATTCATGGGAAAACACACAATTTGCAAATTGTAGACAATCCATCCTAACTTTGAAAAACTAAGATCCTTTGAGTCTTTTCACGACTTCACCATATCATCAATAAACAATCACTAAAATTTTGCCCACTGAAATTTAGGGTTTACAATCAATGCTCATTTTCCCCTTGATTCCCAAATTACATCAACCATTTTAATTTGCATAGTTAATATAACACACAATATTTTGGCTCCTGGCTCTATTCTCTATATCTTGCTTGTTTGAATTCTGGCTATTAGCTCTCTCTTACCTCCTGCTATCACACTTATTTCCCCTTGTTCCCCCTTCCCCTTCTCTCTCAGTCACTCTTTTCCTCCAGTTGGATTGAAGTGATTTCCTTGCTTCATGAGCCAGTGCAGATTCAATAGGCTGAATTATCTCCTTCCGAGAGGGCAACATCCAAAATGTGTGAAGTGCGACATTCACCATTTTTTTATTATTATAGATAATACTTTTTGTGAAGTTTTCCAATAAGCTTTTATTTATGACTTTCTAAATCCAAATGAAATTCCAAACAACCCACCCCACACACACGCACACATTTTTAAAAAATCTGGTAGCATATTAGTTATATTTTCTCAGTGGTTAGAGCACTCGCTTTGCAAGCGAGAGACCTGAGTTCAATTCCAGGCAGGTCAGGGCGAAACCTTGGGCAAGTTTCCTTACTCCACACAGAGCCTAATAATAATCTCTCCAAAAAAACAAAACAATAATAAATTGGTCATTTTCAATCTACGACTGTTTGTGGGACATTGCTGTGCGCAATTGGCTGCCGCGTTCGCCCACAAATATACAGTCAATTCACTTTACAGTATATTCTGTGAAGTGCTTTGGGACGTCCTTCCGACGTGAAAAGCGCTATATCAAATGCAAGGATTATTATTATTAAGACTGAAAGTTTAAGATATTTGATGTTTATTTACGCAAGTCATAATTGTGTTTTATTATCTTTTGCCTAGGAGCAAAATCAGCTTGCATGGTTTATTGAAATTCCCAGACATAAGATTACATCATCAAAAGGTAATTTATTATTTGGTGTTTTATTTTCTGGTAAACAAAACAAATTCATTTCTGGAGAATAAAATGTTTTTCTCCTTTTTAGATGTTTCTCCCAATATCCTGGCCAACAATTCCCTCAAATAAAGTGGGTCATTCACTTCATGGTTATTAATGGGACTTGACTGTCACATTCGCCTACAGAATATAGTCACTATTACAGTTACTTTACAGTACAACAACAACAAGATTGCATTTATAAAGCGCCTTTCACGTCAGGAGGACGTCCCAAGGCGCTGGACAGTTGGGTCAGGACCAGAGTAGTGGGGAAATGGTCAGGGTGAGGGGAGGGAAGGGAGGAAGCGAGGAGGGGGTAGAGAGTCGAGAGGGGAGCTGAAGGCACGGTTGAAGAGAAGTAAACCCTTGAAGCGCTTCGAGACATCCTTGTGACATGAAAGATGCTGTATCAACTGCAAGGATTATTATTTTTATCAATGGAGGGGTGAAGATTTTATATTTTACTCTGTTATATTTTGCTAATTGTATATAGAGGATGATTTCATTAAAAGAGAAAGGAATGCTACATTGAATAAGGCACCAGACAGCATTTCAAGTGCTTTGAGACATCCAATGTGTTAGTTGCTATATAAATGTAAATTGTATTGTAAGTAAATACCTTAGTTTCTGGAGAAATTCAATTCAATTAAAGAAATGGGTAAGTATTGGGGTTTTCAATATGATTTGGTTATTTAAGTTTTTCTCATTCTTCTCCCCAACATAAACATTAAAAATACAATTGTTTATTTCCATATTTAACAGAGATTTCCCCATTGGATCAATTTTATGTGAAAATAAAATTGCATTATGAGTTACGCTTGTTCATGACAGAAGGAACCTTGCTGGATATTGCAAGAGGTAGGGTGTATGAATTGGTTTGAAAATATCTCCAACCCTGTCTTCTTTTAAAGCATGTTTTACAGTACAGCGCATATATGTATTGCAAGCCAATCAATATAACTAAAGAAACATAAAAATAACTCCATTACAATTACGTCCACTTGGAGGATTTGGAGACTTCCAAAGAGACACCTCGCCTTTAAGAATGACCTTTTCCACAATGTGTTATCCGTGTACCCTAATTTCTCATAGGTATAATCACATGGTGTGGAGGATGTTACTGTATATAAGGAATGAAGTAGACCCACTGTTAGATCTATTTTTTTCATATACTATATTATAGTACAATTGGGGCCTACCATTGGGGCATGGAGCAGAGCAATATCCTGTTGTAAGGCAGGTACCAATTCATTTGCAATATGTTCATACAGAAACTGATTTATTTTATCTAATTATTATCTCAATAAAGCTTCTGATAAGTATAGCAAATGAATTAATGAGTTTAAGCAAAGTTCTAACCTCAGCAGTCATTTACATTTTGTTGCATATTAAATCTCTCCTGAAAAGTACAAAATAGATTGACAACAGTGATTTGGAAAATTGTAATAAATGGTCTTTTATCATTTTCTTATAGAACCCCTACTGCAATGGAATATAGGCACTGAAGCACAAACATTTTTTTTTTCTGAAGATCTGCAACTCTTACAGTCCATCTTGATAACTCGGAGCCCTTGCGCTAATGATGTAGTGATTCTTCTACCTATATTTAATAGTACTACATTGAGATCTTCAGGTAGTAAGGCTACTTTGGTTTGTCTAGTCCTGTTCCAATATTTGCATGTGAGGAACTAAGGGGGCAGATGTATGTGTGTATTATAGTGACAGTGTAACTTTCAATTGAAGACATTTTTGATTAATACATATTGAATTCCTGTGATTATTTCATATTCACATTGTTTTTATATTCACAATAGGATATTGGTCTCCACTTTCTCGTACAATTCTTATTTCTATAATATTATCCGTGCATATTTCTTAACATTTATTTTGCAAATGTGTTTTTTGAAATATTTGTAGGATTTTGTTTTTTTCAGTATTTTACCACATATGGAGTATATTTCAGTGATTGAAGGTCTTGAGCTATACAAGCAAAAGCTTTTTTTTGAGTATTGCTTAAGATATCCTCTTGGTTCACATGTGGCCAAGTTTCTTACTTGACCCTTTGACCAAAAGACAGTCTTCTAGTATTCATTGTTTATCCCTAAACTGTGTTCGTCTCTTATTTTGATGTGTAGACATTAATTTAATCGTGACCAAGACCTCATTTACTTCAAATGAAGAAAAGTGGATCAATATCAGACCTACACTGTGTGCTTTACTTATTGAAGGTAATTATTTACTAATTTTGAATGTGTGTATGTGTCCCCCAAGTTTTAGATGCATGAAACAGTATTGAATACTACATTACTTCATACAATTTCTTATTTTGTGCACTTCTTAAGTTCCCATTTAGAAGCAACTTCCTCCCTGATCACAGCCAATGCCATAATAAGAATTATGTAAAAGCCACTTTAGTATTTTCAAATCTCTGTACTATAAGATATGCAGCTATTGTTAACTTGTATTATGCTGTTCTGGCCATATATCTTAATATTCTTTCATCTTATTAAAATGCTTCACTATGGTGCATTCACATTGGAAGAGATATGCACTGAACTGCACTGTTTTGAATGTTAGTTTAGTTTTGAAACTTTACAAAAGTTTTTCTATGGATCAATCATTCATTCAATCATTTTGAGAAATGTTTTATCCAATTAATTGATCAGCTAAAAAGTGCATTGCATTTTGTTTTCAGGTTGTACAGGTATCAATGTGTTGAATCTCAAACTGACTAATTATCATTTGATAATCCAGACAACACATGGTTTTTTTATTAGCCAAGATTTGCGCTCAGTAAATAACACTGGCGATCAATTAAAGGTATGTGTACGTGTGTATATCCATCCAGTGATTATATAAGTTCATAATATAATTTTAGAATAATAAAATATCCTTTTATGCAGAAGGTCAATGTGAGGAGGGCTATATTGTTTACCAACTATATGGATATCCTCCAAGCTATTTTAGATGTGGAAATGTGGTATTTTACATACAAGTACATTGATTGTCTAAATCCTTATGAAGTACAAATATGAAATGTGTGGTTACTGCAGTGATGGCTTTAGGATTTTGATTTTATTAACAGCTGGTTGGCAGATATTCTAAAATATTCAAACTGCCCCATCCTCAATAGAGTTTTTTTGTTTATTGGCTGTGTCTAGTTGGTAACGCTCTCACAACTGAATCAAAACATTGTGGGTTTAAGCCTACGTCATAACTTTAAACACATAGTCTAGGCCAGTAGATGCCAATCCACTTTTGACCTGCAGAGGACTTCAAGAAGTGACCTCCTGAACACCGGCACCAGTTTAGGCAAGTCCGCGCCACATCAATACCTTCTTTCCAGTAGCTACAGACCGGCGATACCCATGGCGTGGCCATAAATGAAGAAAAATTCAATAAAGAAAAATGTATTTGGATGACCGACCATAAAGGTTGCCGACCACCAGTTCAGGCTGACACTGCAGTGCACTGCTGGATGTGGTGCATTGTTGGAGGTACCATCCTTTTGATGAGTTGTTAAACCCAGACCCCCACCTGCCTGTTCAGGTTGATGTTAAAGATCCCATGGCACAAATTGAAAAGAGAGCGGAATTTCTCCTATATCCTGACCAACAATCCTCCAACCTGAAATTGATCATTAATTTAATGGCTGTTAGGGATATTGCCTTGCGCAAATTGTGTTCATCCACAAAATACACACAGTCATCACACTTTACAGGTGTCTTGTGTGTTTTGAGCAGGGCGAAACCTTGGGCAAGTTTCCTTACTCCACACAGAGCCTAATAATAATCCCTCCAAAACCAAAAAACAATAATAAATTGGTCATTTTCAATCGACGACTGTTTGTGGACATTGCTGTGCGCAATTGGCTGCCGCGTTCGCCCACAAATATACAGTCAATTCACTTTACAGTGTGTTCTGTGAAGCGCTTTGGGACGTCCTCCCGACGTGAAAAGCGCTATATCAAATGCAAGGATTATTATTATTTCGTCCCAATGTTTGAGGCACAGTGTGAAATGTAAGTATTATTATCTTTTTCAATATTTCTGGTTAGATTATTTATTCATTGTGGTTTGTGTTTCACTTTTGTTTCTCACAGGGATATTTTTTCCTTAAAATGTCTTAAATAACGTGTAGCAAATTGTGAGTTTGAATCTGTGCTGAATGTATCTACATGGATGAACTGCACCAGTGACCAGATTGCCTTCAACAGAGTTTGCATCAAAAATCAATTAAAATGTTTAATTGTTTAACTAACTGAATCATTTCAATGCATCTTCTTTTCAGTTTGAAATTATGCACCTAAACCTACCACAGGTAAGATTATTGATTTTGATTTAGTTTAAAATTATTTGTAGTTGTTTTATTCATGTGTTAATGGCTGGTGAGTAAATTTAGTTTTCACAAAAGAAATGCCTTGCTTATATTTGTGCCTACCATAAATTCAGCTTGTAGCTAACTAGCCCTAGAACTGATGTGTATAATATATACAATAAGTTACTTCCATGATGCACAATTTAGTGCTGCTTCAAGAGATACTCAATCTGACGCGGCAATCAGATGGTCTGCTACAGAGGTGACAATTCCAGCAGCAGTAGTTGAAAGCTTCGGGAGGATAGCTAGTCCAACCAATTGTGGCAAAACGATGTGGGGTGGGGGGTAGAGAGAAGGGATGTTTGCACCCACATACAGTCTTTAGTTATCAACTGCAGTATTTGATGATGTGACTATACATTAGTGATATGATCAAATGTCGCAATTTATTCTCTACTCCCCCATATTTTCATGCATATACTGTATTTTTAATGGCACTTGTCGAATAATGCAGTGCAAAGAGCATTTCTTACATGTAAAATGGTGTGCCTGACCTATTTGTCATTCATCTGTATGAATCCAAGGTCTTCAAAATATTGATAAATAGACAAATCCTGATCTAAGTATCACTTTTACTTTATGAAGTTAGGTGCATTTTCTACCCCCTTCCCTCCCTTCCATTAATTGGTTCTGATGGTAAAGTGAGTGTTAAAATTGTCATCAGTCAGAATATAAATTAATAACATAAAATGAATTACATTTTGTTTAAATTATTTTTTAAAAATACTGTTATTAATAAAAAGGAAATTTAGTACAAGAACAACAACTTGCACTTATATCGCGCCCTCCTTGCAGGATCGCTTAACAGGGTGGAGCCTGACTCCGAGCCTAGGGGAGTGACCATAAGTACGGTTGAAAAGGAAAGTTTTCAGGTGGACTTGAAAAGGGAAAGGCCAAGGCGGAGAGATTGAGGGGGGGTGTTCCAGAGTTTTGGGGCATAGTGGCTGAATGCACGACCTCCAATGGTGGAGCGGAGGGCGTGAGGGACAAGCAGGAGGCCAGTGCCAGTCAAGTGAATGGTGGATTGGGGTGTGAGAAGGTCAGAGAGGTAGGGAAGTGCCAGGGAATGAAGGGATTTGAACACGAGTGTGAGCATCTTAAAGTCGATACGTTCGGTGATGGGGAGTCAGCCTGGCCAGAACTGGTGAGATCGGGGTACGGAGTTTGGACCGGGTAAGTACGCGGGCAGCAGAGTTCTGAATGAGCTGGATTTTTTAAATAGTGGAGCTGGGGAGACCAGCGAGGTCCCTATTAGTACATAGAAGTCCTGTAGCTCAGTGGTTAGAGCGCTCGCCTTGCAAGCGAGAGACCTAGATGATTATGGTCAGGGCAAAACCTTGGGCAAGTTTCATTACTCCACACGCCTAATAATAATCCCTAAGAAAAAAAGACAATAATAAATTGGTCACTTCAATCCACGACTGTTTGTGGGACACTGCTGTGCGCAATTGGCTGCCGCGTTCGCCCACAAATATACAGTCAATTCACTTTACAGTATATTCTGTGAAGCGCTTTGAGATGTTTAGAAGACGTGAAAAGTGCTATATCAAATGCAAGGATAATATTTATTATATTATTTTAATAGGGAAAATTCCAGAATAAGAGCAACTTTACTGGGGAATAAAAAACAGCTGCTCTGTGGTGTAATGTGAAGGTCATGGGATATATTCTACATGCCTATTGCTTAATAAATATCTTTTATAGCCATGTCATTGAATATTCTTTTCTTAAATATTATTTCCTTCCTGTTACAAAAATAAGGATATTACTTTATACAACCATTCATTTTTCTTACCATCAATTTGATATCAAAGATCAATCACATTTTTTTCATTTTAGATAAACCACAGATTATTATTGCTTTCATATAATGAGCAGTGCTTAACAACAGAAACAAATTTTTCAGGTAAGGATGTTCATTCTTTTTAATGCCAAAGTGACCGAGAATTGAATATTCCAGGTCTGAATTCCCCTGCATGGGGACACTAGAATTTTGGAAAGGTTCTCCTTGTTAATGTTGCCCTATCCTTTTTTCTTTAATCTGTTACCAAGGGAATATTGCTCCATTGGGTTCTCCATGCCTCAGTTGAATTCCTGCATACACCTCTGATAGTTGATTCAGCAGTCTTTGTTAAATATAGTTAGTTCATTGACTAAGTCAGTAGCAATTTTCTTAACTATCTGCTTCTTGGCTGTGAAACAAAATACTGTATCTCTCTACTGTGGCCTTCCTGCAGCTCCTATATAATCCTAAAAGCATTCATTTGCATTTTGCAGGTGATTTTCTGAGCATAATAGAAAAAGAAAATGCACTCACAGGCAAGGTAAGAATTTTGTCATCTTTCGACTGCATCAGAATTTCACTCCAATATGCTATCTTGTAGTCAGATATTAATTTGTGTCTTCAGTTAGCCATATAATACATTTTTCATCAATTATAATAACTTGTGTTTGTATAGCACTTTCATGTAAATAAGTATCTATAATCACATGATTAACATGATTAACATGATTAAGCTATGAACGAAGGTTTATTCCCTTATCATGTATTTATCAAGTTTCCTCTTTATGAATAATATGTGTGATCCAGCATGCACTTTTTGTGAAAAGTAAAGGTAAGCACAATGAATTTAATAGTGTCAGGCAGATGGTGGCATTGTTCTCAAGCATTTCATGCTGAGCTGTGTTGCCCACCAGGAAGCTCACAGGCAGTTCCTTCATTTTTCTCATTCTCAACCTGCACAGTGTTAGTATCTTCATATTGGAATGCTTCTTTACCGTGATCATAACATAAATGCTATTTCGTGAACCTTGACTTTCAGCACAGTACCAGCAGATAATAATAATCCTTGCATTTGATATAGCGCTCTTCACGTCTTTTAGACGTCTCAAAGCGCTTCACAGAATATACTGAAAAGTAAATTGACTGTATATTATGTGGGCGAAACCCAACAGCCAATTGCGCACAGCAGTGTCCCACAAACAGTTATGGATTGAGTAACCAATTTATTATTTTTTTTGAAGGAATTATTAGCCCTGGAAAAGCGATCCACCAATCGACTAACAACCAGTTTCCTACTCACTGCTAAGTAAACGGAGATGTGTGGAGTAAGGAAACTTGCCCAACATTTCACCCTGTCTGGGAGTGAATCGAACCCAGGTGTCTCACTCACTTGCGAGGCGAGTGCTTTAATCAATGAGCTACAGATACCAACAGAAATAAGTTTGCACTGGTGATTCTACAATGATAGTCAACTGTGTGCAGCACAAAATAATAACTTCTAGCTGTATAATTTTGAAGTGGAGGAAACATGCAAGACTGGTGTGCACTTCATTTTGTAATGCTAAGATCTTATAATAACTCAATTTTTCTCATATATAGTTGTGTATTTTATTTTTTTCTGTTTTCAGATCAACTCTTGTATTTATATCATGATTCCCATCACTGAGTGGCACTTGTGTTTATCCGACCTGGCTCTACGGGATTATGGGCAAACAAATACTATAATTATCGCTGTTGTTTGGGACAAGCAGCGAAGTACAAAAATCACCCTGGCTTATCAACATGTAAATATAGAGCTGCTTTGTGTTGCTTTTATTCGTTCTGTCAGATTGCTATTTTAATTATAGCTGTTAGGGCCTGTGTTAGAATATGTAAGTTGTAAAACAAATTGTTCAGTGACTTTAAAAATCAATTAAAATTTAAGAATGTCCTAGAATTAAGATTGCTAATCTTAATTCATTACCATTATAGTTTTTATAATTTTGACAATGCTATACTATTACAGTATTTTAATTCTTATGAGATTATCATGTTGGGAGTGGGAGGGTGTATGTTATGCAACACATTGTAAACACATGCACCAGAGGAGACTACAGGTAGCTTTAATTGTTTAATTACAATCAATGAAAAGAATTGTAGATATTCATAATGATGGTATTCTGAGGATGAGATAGTTTTAATGTAATATTATCTTCTCCTTCAATATACTAACAGCTATTCCATATTTGCCCCATCATACAATATGTAGGGCCTTTCCTATACTTTGCTTGTATAATGTAATATTGTTATTATTATTATAGCTATTGAATAGCTACTTAAACTTCAGCAATATACCACTATTGCAAGCCTTAGCACTTGCCAACCTGCACCTAAATTCTCTGGGTTTGGGCAGCAGGGGACATCCTGAGAATGTCACACTCCATTAGCAAAGAAAATCGTACATAAGTGGAACTCTTGATAGTTTGATTGGCATTAAGCATGGTGATGGATTCCCACCAACAGATACTCAATTGACGGAAAACCAAATCATAATATGAAACACAGTTAATAGTGGATATCAAAAGAACAACTCGTCCAATATAAAAATGCTTTCTTATAAATAGGATCTTTGTAATTTTTTAGTTTAACTCAACTAAATTGAGCCATCATGTGTTAAGATTTTAAATAATTATATAAATTGGAATAAAATTATTATCTAAATTAAAGCTCTTTTTCTCAGTAATCTGTTTTAATTTGTGATATTTTAATTGAACTAAATTATTTTTTTCTTTTACCTTCAGAAACGGGCTGTAGTTTATGTGTACAGAATGGAGAATTTTTTGGGATCCAACAAGAAAATATTTCCAGAATTTTATTTTGAATTGGATTTCTTACCAGAAGGAATGTTTGTGCACCCAAGCAATCATGTTATTTATGTCTATGGATCACAGGTGAGGAATAATTTTGTCCAGATACCTGCAATAATCTGAAGTTATTTTGTAAATTGCATGTCTGTCAGTGGATTCATCTCTATAAATTATAAATGACTATTCATTTTTGTGGCTAATACATTTCTCCACATAAGTGAACTTTATGAAGTTAAAGTATTTGGATGTACCTATCCACATCGGTCCTAAAACAATTCTAAGACCATCTGCATTAGGAAATACAATTTAATGAACTACTTTTTCTCCTACAAAATTGGAGTTGAACTGATTTTTGTGTATGTGGGTGGAAAAGATTGATTTTCATGAACATTTAAGTCATTGCCTTATTTTTAAGAAGCAATGGAAAAATATATGTTCAGTCAAATTTTGTAGGCCATTACACGTAATGCTCATTGAGAATTTTACTCACTTTTTTATGTTACAGGTGTGGTTTTCAAAAGATGGGGGCAATTACTTTCAGCTGATACTGAGTTTACGTCAAGAGAATGTTGTAAGGTCAATTATATGCCTTCGTAATCATGTTGTAATCTTCGTAACAAACAAAGGGAATGCTTTTTACACCAGCCCAGGTACAACAACAACAACAAGATTACATTTGTATGGTGTCTTTCACGTTGGGAAGACGTCCCAAGGCGCTGGACAGAGTACAGCATTTCAGACCCGAGCTGGGGGCGGGGAGGGAGGGGAGGCGAAGGGGGGTGGCCGATGGCATGGTCAAAGAGGAGGGTCTTGAGGCAGGAATTGAAGGAGGATAAGGAGCGGGTGAGGTGAAGTGACGGGGGATGGAATTCCAGAGGTTGGGGGCAGAGTGGCTGAAAGCTCTCCTGCCGATAGTGGGACGGGTGGTCGGGGGACGTGGGGAAGGCCAGAGCCGGCTGAGCGGAGGGAATGGGCGGTTAGGAGGTGGCAGAGGTAGGGTGGGACGAGGCCATGGAGGGTTTTGTATGTGAGGATCAGGATCTTGAACTGGATCCTCTGAAGGATAGGGAGCCAGTGGAGTCGGGCAAGAATGGGGGAGATGGGGTCACGGAGTTTGGTGGGGGAGAGGACACGGGCTGCAGAGTTCTGGATTATCTTCAGCCTGTGGAGGGAGGAGTTGGGAAGGCCGACAAGCCTTTTGCATAGTCGAGCCTGGAGGTGATGAAGGCATGAACAAGAGTTTCAGCGGCCTGAGGGTTGAGGTAGTGGCGCAGTTGGGCAATAATAATAATAATAATCCTTGCATTTGATATTGCGCTTTTCACGTCGGGAGGACGTCTCAAAGCGCTTCACAGAACACACTGTAAAGTGAATTGACTATATTAGTGGGCGAACGCGGCAGCCAATTGCGCACAGCAGTGTCCCACAAACAGTCGTGGATTGAAAATGACCAATTTATTATTGTTTTTGGTTTTGAAGGGATTATTATTAGGCAGTTATTAGTTACAGAGGTACAATTAAATGTCTATATTTAGTGATGTAGCCAAAAAATGCTCTAAAGCTTTACGCTGTATCAGCAATTTATTGTTAGAAATTATTGGATTGAATTCAAAAGCTTTAAGGGACAGTATAAAATCCGTTATAAGGATAGTATAACAATACCTTGCATTTATATAGCATGTTTCACAAAATAAAAGCATTGAAGCTTGTTACAAAAATATATTTGCTTAGAAATTAAAGTGAATGTTATTATAAAAAGAAAAATGACACTATAATCCACCTCAGTGTCTCATAAGCAATGAGAATGTAGCCATTAAGTTTGAATATGCGGATAAATTGGATGAGGAGTTCTACCAGGAGAAAGACTTCATGTTTCTTTGACGTAGCAACAGATGGGTGGTGTTTCATGCTTCTGCAGCTGAGGTCCTAAGGACCAATCAACCTGAAGTGCGATCCTATCAAGGTAACCGCAAAGGGAAGGAGACTTATTAGGCGAAGATAGAGGACCTTTAGATTAGAAATCCTAGTATGATTTGGATATTCTTAAGCATGGTGATTTGTTTCTGCATATGTCAGACACCTAGCTGAGCTGACCAAACAATCCAGATGGGTGGAATCGCTTTATGTTCATGTGAATCGAAAACCAGACACAATCAAAATTAACTTAATTAATCAAAATTTATCAAATTAATCAAAACATAATGATCTAGAAACATACTTCTATGTAATATACAATATTATTACTGTATTTAGGTTAGTATTACTTTCTCAGTGACTCAACTGCATTGTCATGATTCACTGTATTTCTATTTTTTTAACCAAAGGTTTAACGAGGTACGTTTCACTTGGAAAACTTGAAAAAAAGAGATCCGTTTTGCACTGCGATCATTTAGGAACTTTGTTGAGAATAACATTTGATCCTCCTTTAAATAATAATCTCAAAGTGGAAACAATTGATCTTGATGCTTTGTTAGAGGTGAGTTTGCAAGCTATTCATGAGCATATCCACATCATAAACTGAAATGTTTCTTAATATGACACTGAATTTATTAATGGTTCTATACTTAAGAGATTAAATGTGGGCTATGCAATGAAATTTGATCCAAAGGGGTATGCACTTTTTAATGAGAAGAGTAGTTCTTGTATCTTGGTAGCTCAACAAAGATCATGAAAAGACTGTCATGGAATTTGAGTGTGGATTGATGAAGAACTATTTGGACAAATGTTTTAAACGCCCAGAGTAACATTCACTCCTTCTCGGGTCCTGTGGAATGTTCAAGCAGTTTGGCATCTATCTCAACCCTCAAATATTGATGAGAATAAACAATTGGGACTGATGCCCATGTATCATCCAATCAATAACTTCAAGTTCCCCTCTTGAGTCATCCAGTGCCATAATACTGTACTTGAGAACACCCACCATCATTTCCCAATGAGTGGCCCAGGATTCAAGATGATGAGTGCAGCAGAGTGTTAACATTGTGTGAGAGCTTAATGGGGTAACCCCATTAATGTTTTCCTGCAATTTAGAGGTTTTGAGTTTGAATTCTGGTTAATCGTGGGTTGCATGGAAGGTCAATTGGCCCTGATTTTCCCAGGGTTGAGGGGCCAAAACCAGCCAGGCTTCCTGTTCCATCTTCGTCAGCCTCTACTGCATGGTGTATTTTTTAAATTAATTTCAATTAAGTAATAAGGTCATATAGCAATAAGGTCATTTAGTAATAAGGTCATTGATTAATGTCGTTTAATAATAAGGTCATTTAGTAATAAAGTTATTTAGTAATCAGGTCATTTAGTAAAGCATTTAGTAATAAGATGATGTAGTAATAAGGTCAATAATTTAGTAATAAGGTCATTTATTAATAAGTTCATTTAATAATAAGGTCATTTAGTAGAAATGAAAGGGAGAAACAGGAAGAAAATTTTAAAAAACAAATGATGGACCTGTATACGATAGAAAAAAAAGACATTGGTGTGACCATTCTTGAAAACTGAAGGAATTAGCTTAGGACTGATATGGTGAGTCAGACCTGCTCCAGTAAAATAAAATCACTGGGATTTATTGTATGCTATGTGTAAACTGTGGAAACGCATATGTATAGACAGATTTACAGGTGCCTTTAATTTTGTAAATAATCAATGATTTTTATAGATTGTTAATTCCATAAATCATTCTGAATTAGATCTGCCATGTGTAAACAATTATGCTATGTACAATAGTATTGTAAATATTTTACTAATGTTACCAAGTTAGGTATAAAGTGATCGCTGAAATATTAACCTATCCCCTTTGTTACAGATTGGCTTACTGTGTATTTCAATCATTTCTTTTTTATTGAAGGTAATTTGCGCTCCTTAATTATTACTTATTTAATTCTTACCCAGGCTGATGACACAGGCTTTGACAGTATTCTTGCACTCCAGTTTCTCACTGACAAGCAAGCAGTATTTCATGAATTCACTACCTTGAAACCATTGGCATTCAATGTGCATGTTAGACACTTTTCTGAATTTCATGTTGGAAAAAGTTTGAAGATGAGGTAATTGAGTATTTTTAAACTACCGAAATAACTTTCATTTTTATTGTGCCATATATGTCAAACAGTAATTGCTGTCAAGTGCAGTGAGTGTTTTTTACTGGTAAACTTCCAAAATCTTGGAAGGGACTATTATTTTCAGCGCTTTGGGACGTACTCCTGATGTGAAAGGTGCGCTACAAATGTAATGTTGTTGTTGTTGTTGAATGGAAGGAAAATAATATGTATGGAAAATTAAAAGGACCTGATGTACTAAATTAGTACTTCACAACTGTCTTCACAAAAGAAGACGATGCAACTAATACCACAATATCGTAGGCGTGTGAACAGAAATTGGATATAATAAAAATCAATAGAGAGGAGGTACTAATAATGCTCAACATAGATAAGCCACCTGGTCCGGATGGGATGCATCCACGGTTACTGAGGGAAGCAAGGGGGGAAATAGCGGAGGCTCTGGCCACAATCTTTCAATCCTTTTTGGAACACTGGAGTGCTGCCAGAGGACTTTAAGGTTGCAAATGTTACTCCCCTGTACAAAAAGGGGCAGAAGGATAAACCTGAGAACGACAGGCTGATCAGCCTAACATCAGTGGTAGGGAAACTTCTGGAGGCAGTAATCCGGAACAATATAAATTCTCACTAAGAAAAATATGGTTTAATAAAGGACAGTCAACACGGATTTGTTAAAGGCAGATCGTGTCTGACAAACCTACTAGAATTTTTTGATGAAGTGACTGAGAGGGTGGATGAAGGTAGTGCAGTAGATGTAATTTATCTAGATTTTCAAAAGGCATTTGACAGAGTGCCACATAAGAGACTTATAAACAAAATAGAAGCCCCCGGTATTAAAGGGACTGTGGCAACATGGATCCTGAACTGGCTCGGAGACAGAAAGCAGAGAGTGGTAGTAAACGGTTGCTTTTCTGACTGAAAGAAGGTGTGTAGTGGTGTCCCTCAGGGATCGGTATTGGGACCACTGCTCTTTCTGATCTATATTAATGATCTGGATCTGGATATAGGGAGCACAGTTTCCAAATTTGCAGACGATACTAAGCTAGGAAAAGCAGTTAATGATGAGGAGGATAGCACCAGACTCCAAGAGGACTTAGACAGATTGGTGAAATGGGAGAAACGTGGCAGATGAGGTTTAATGTGGAGAAATGCGAAGTGTTGCATTTTGGTGGGAAGAATGAGGAGAGGCAATATAAGCTGATGGTAAAACCTTAAAGGGGGCAAACAGAGATACCTACCTGGGGGTCTACGTAAGCAAATCTCTGAAGGTGGCAGGACAGGTGGATAAAGCTGTTACAAAAGCATACGGGATACTAGGCTTTATAAATAGGGGCATAGAATTCAAAAGTTATTTATAAAATGTTGGTTAGGCCTCAGTTGGAGACTGAGTTCAGTTCTGGGCACCGCACTTTAGGAAAGATGGAAGAGGGTGCAAAGGAGGTTTACCCGATGGTACCAGGAATGAAGGACCTTAGTTATGAGGAGAGGTTAGCGAAACTAGGATTATTCTCCCGAGAGCAGAGAAGATTAAGAAGGGATTTAATAGAAGTTTTCAAGATCTTGAGAGGATTTGATTAGTTGAACCGGGAAAAACTGTTTCCACTGGCATGTGGGTCAGTAACCCGAGGACACCGATTTCAGATCGTTGTTAAAAGAAACAGAGGGGAGGTTAGGAATTTTTTTTCACCCAGCGAGTTGTTGGGATCTGGAATGCATTACCTGAAAGGGTAGTGGAAGCCGATTCAATAACAACTTTTAAAAGAAGTAGTGGGTATTTGGGGAGGACAGGATTGCAGGGCTATGGAGAGAAAGCGTGCCAGTGGGATTGCTCTTTTCGGAGCTGATGCAGACACGATGGGCCAAATGGTCTCATACTGTGCTGTATAATTCTATGAGTCTATGAGGATTTGAACATACTTGGAAATTGGGCAGATCGGTGGCAGATGAAATTCAATCTGGAGAAATGTAAAATGCTTCACATGGGGACAAAAAATCCTGGGACTATTATTTGTACAGAAGGAAAATTAAATGCATGGAAAATGAAAAGGACCTGAGGTTCCTGATTGACAATAAACTGAAGCTCTCACAACAACTCTGTGGCAGTGAGTAAAGCAAACCAGATGTTGAGATGCATCAAAAGATTGATAGCAGCCGAAATAGTGGGGTAATCCTGCCACTATAAATCATTGGCGAGACCATACGTAGATACCGTATATAGTTCTGGTTGCCACGGTACAAAGAGGATATTGGAGAAATCAAGAAGATACAGAGGAGGGCAACCAAATGATTGAGGGAATGGAGGGACTGGACTATGAGGAGCGACTCAGTAAATTGGGCATGTTCACGCTGGAAAAGAGAAAATTGAGAGGCAACATGATTGCTGTCTTTAAGATTTTAAAGGGGCAAAACAATATAGATCGTGACGGGCTGTTTCAACTTGTCCAGAATAGTACAACCAGAAGACACGGCCTGTGATTGAAGGGGGGAAATTCAGAACAAATCTACTCAAACACTATTTCAGTGAGCGAACAGTAAACCTGTGGAACAGGCTCCCTTGGGAGATGGTTGAAGTAGGAAGTGTTGGTTCTTTCAAACACAGATTAGATTGTTTTCTTGTAGGAAATAACATTACGGGATACAGTACATAGGTAGTTCGGGACATATGTACATGCGACTGCCTGGAAGATGGAAGGCGAACTAGATGGATCTTGGTCTTTTTTTGTATAGCATTTCTTATGTTCTTATGGTAAAAGTGACAGCCAATTTACACACAGCAAGATACCAGAAAATATCTGTGTAATGAATGGATAATATAATAAATAACTGATTAATTCAGAGGATTTTTTCCCAGCCTCCAGGACAAACTCCCTGCAGTAAACTAGGTGTTGAAAGATTCCTTTTAAAAGAGAACTGGATAAGTACTGTATTATTAATAATAATGCTAATAATGGTTAAATTTGGCGTAGCGCTTTCTTGCTTGGAGGATATCCCAAGGCACTTCACAGGATATACTGTAGTTCCTGTGTGTTTTGTGGACGAGCGTGGCAGCCAGTTGTATGCACAGCATTACCCCACAAATAGCCATGAAATAAATGATTGACTAATTTTATTTGGTGGATTGTGAGTAATCCTGGTCTGGAGTGCTGTTAAATGTAAATCTGTTGCACATCATTTATTTTGCTATCCTAAGCTCCTGGGATTCTCCCATATTTAAATTTCAAACGGTATAGAAAATCTTCTTTATAAAATGCCATACAATAGACAGTTTAATTGGTCAGATAACTTATGTAGCAGTAATAACTTCTCAAATATGTTTAAATGAAAACAATATTAATATCTTTTTTAAACACATTTTACTAGAATTTGTTGCATTTCCAAAATGCATATTGTTTGTGTAATAAACCAGTACTTCTATTTTAGGGCAGGTGGTTTGGGTGAGATAGTTGCTGTTTATGAGAAACATAACATACCTGGATTTATATCTGCTGCTGTTGTGAACATAATAGAACATTACAATGCAGATCCTTTCACTGCCAAAGTTCTTTCAAATATCCTGGTTGTTGAGAATAAGGTGAATGGAACAATCTTCCTCAGACTGGAACCTGGTGGTAAGCACACTGCAGGATAATAGAATCTGTTAACTGAATAATGGGTTCAGTACTTTTTTTTGTGAGTTATTTCATATTTTTCACTCCTTCCCATCTTTAAGTCTCAAACACTCTGGGACGCTACTCCACGCGAAGGATGCTATATATATGCAAGTTGTTGTTGTTGTTGTATAATATAAGATGTAACTTTCCTTGAAATAAGAAGCTAGGAAAGCAACCTTATGTAACCAACCACTATGAGGCACATGTAAACTGACTTACCTTCTGATTTTTCTTCTTCCTTCCAAGTTTGAGAGAGCTATTTGACAGCTTTCTCTCTCCCCAATAGCATCAGAAAGATCAAAAACCTGCTAGTGGGAGTAAGAGCTGTAATAATAGTTTTTTTGAATTCTCACCATAAACCTACAAGTGCCAGGTTTTCCTGCATGGTGTTTTTTTTTCTCTTGCCCATCTCAAAACCTTCTTCTTTGACCGTGCCTTTGATCATTCTACCCCCCTTATCCTCCACCCCTCTTGACACCTAGCCTCAACTCGGGTGCAACCTTGACTATTCAGCACCTTGGGACAACCTCCTGACATGAAAGGGCACTATAAATGCAATCTGTGATTGATGTAAACCCAGAACAATACTTCACAACAACACAACTTGCACTTATATAGCACCCCTCATGCAGGGTAGCATCCCAGAGCGCTTACAAGTGTGTATAGCGCTGTCATGCTATAAAAGACACTAGAACAAGAGGACATAAGTTTAGAGTTGCAGAAGACAATTTCAGGAAAGATACCAGGAAAAGTTTCTTTATCCAGGGAGTAATTAATAACTAGAACAGGTTGCCAAGAAGGGTTGGTGAGGCCAAGATAATGGACTCATTTAAAAAACAACGTGATGCTGTGATGTTAAAATTGTAGGGTGCATATTCTGGAAGGACGAGATCAAATAGGACAAGGGCCTCTTCTTTCTTCATCCATCAATCTGATTTATATCTTATTGTTTAATTGTAAACCTCCAACTCAACAGTATGTATTTCTTTCAATAGATGTTGGCTTTGAAGCATCTGATGTTGAGAAAACAGTGGTCGTTCCTGGCATTAGCAGTTTTCTGATCATTGAAGTTCTTAGTCCAAAGAGGGTAAAAGTAAAAGCCACGAACAAAGATGTGCTTGGAGATCGACGAATATTTGATAAAGGAATGTGGATTCTTTATGACTTTGGAATAAAAAATGGCAGAAGATGGCGTATCATTGAAAATAAATGCACAACCAGGATTCAGGATATCAACGGCATAGAAATGATTCCACTCAAACATTTAGATCATAATGATACAGTCTCTATTACCTTCAAAGCCTTCAGCTCCAAATTAGGTCAGGTATCTGATTAACATTAAATCTGTTTATAATTTAAGTATAGCATATATCTTGTATCCTTAATATATCATTCAACGGAACATTGCATTGACATTTCAGCCTGGACTACATAAGTTCAAAGTCTGAATGTGTCCTGTTCAGTACTTTAGATGGAAATGTTTTGTTTGTTCTTTGGCAGTGTACAATTAAACTGATTATTATGGAAAACTCCAATGCAGTGCTTTCCTCCCATTGGACCACTTTGCCACACACCCAGCTGGGCTGTTTCTTGGGGCAGGCCAGGGAGGGAGGATTATTTAATATTTTCAAAAATTCAATGAATCTGGTATCAATGAGAACCAAGACCAAGTGGTTGGTAAGCGATGGTTGACGCATTTCCACAAAATATTGCCAAGCTGTATCATACAGCTCCTTGCCAAGTCCCAATCTACTGGAAATAATGCATAAATAGGCATAATTTTGGTGCCCTGTGGAATGGGGTTTCAATGTCTGAGTATGGTTCCAGATAGGTCTTGGGTCTTTCCAGTATATTCTAGATTTAATGCTCCCATGTCATCAAACATGTGGAAACACTCTTGCATAAGAACATAAGAAATGTTAGAACATAAAAAAGACCAAGATCCATCTAGTTCGCCTTCCATCTTCCAGGCAGTCGCATGTACATATGTCCCGAACTACCTATTACTGTATCCCGTAATGTTATTTCCTACAAGAAAACAATCTAATCTGTGTTTGAAAGAACCAACACTTCCTACTTCAACCATCTCCCAAGGGAGCCTGTTCCACAGGTTTACTGTTCGCTCACTGAAATAGTGTTTGAGTAGATTTGTTCTGAATTTCCCCCCTTCAATCACAGGCCGTGTCTTCTGGTTGTACTATTCTGGACAAGTTGAAACAGCCCGTCACGATCTATATTGTTTTGCCCCTTTAAAATCTTAAAGACAGCAATCATGTTGCCTCTCAATTTTCTCTTTTCCAGCGTGAACATGCCCAATTTACTGAGTCGCTCCTCATAGTCCAGTCCCTCCATTCCCTCAATCATTTGGTTGCCCTCCTCTGTATCTTCTTGATTTCTCCAATATCCTCTTTGTACCGTGGCAACCAGAACTATATACGGTATCTACGTATGGTCTCACCAATGATTTATAGTGGCAGGATTACCCCACTATTTCGGCTGCTATCAATCTTTTGATGCATCTCAACATCTGGTTTGCTTTACTCACTGCCACAGAGTTGTTGTGAGAGCTTCAGTTTATTGTCAATCAGGAACCTCAGGTCCTTTTCATTTTCCATGCATTTAATTTTCCTTCTGTACAAATAATAGTCCCAGGATTTTTTGTCCCCATGTGAAGCATTTTACATTTCTCCAGATTGAATTTCATCTGCCACCGATCTGCCCAATTTCCAAGTATGTTCAAATCCTCCTGTAAATTATCGTGTTCAGCTTCGTAATCTACCACCTTCTTTAGTTTGGTGTCATCTGCAAACTTAGCCACTATGCTTGCAACTCCTAGTTCCAAATCATTTATAAACATATACAAGAGGTCCAAACAGACCCTCGTGGAACTCCACTGGTAACATTTTCCCAGTGCGATGACATTCCCTGTAAGTCCACCTTCTGGGTTCTTCCGGTCAACCATTTGTGTATCGATTGTAATATACCTCTACTAATTATCGCTTTATTAACTTTCAGTACCAGCCTCTCAAGAGGAACTGTATCTGAAATCCAGATGTACAACATCCAAAGGCTTACCCTGATCAAGCTCCCTTGTCACATTTCAAAGAAAACCAATAAATTAGATTGGCAAGACCTCCCCTTCATGAACGTTATTATTATTATCATTAGCTATCATTCATGATTTTATTTCTGTCCAGATGCTTCATGATTTTATCCTGAATAAGTGTCAAACTTAGTGGTGTGTAGCTTCCTGGGTCACTTTTGTTACCTTTCTTAAAAGTAGGAGTAACATCTGCCTTTCTCCAGTCCCCCGGCACCTCTCCAGTATTCAGTGATTTTTGAAAGATTTGTACCTGCGGCTTCCTCAGAAACCCACTCTTCAATGTCAAATCTGAATTTCCACTCTAAGGGAAGTTCAAGAATGCCTCCTATGTACTTATTCTGTTATGGTAAAAAAAATTAAACCAACGCTATCATGTGCACTTTTCAAACCTCTCCTTTAAATGGATATCTCTTTCTCCCGCCTCAAATCCAACAGCGCAGAAATAATTTTTCAAAACATGTTATGGTAACAAATGCATTCCTGCTAATAAACCATTCTCTATTCCTATCTGTTTGAATTCTTTGCTAATAAACTGGGCAGAATTACCCCCAAAAGGGTGAGATGTGGCTGTTAAACGGATTTTATTTAAAGAATAAAATAAGTTAATTTTGAGCAGTAATCAATTTTTTCTGCCTTGATTCTTTTATGATAATTCATACATTCTTCATTTTTCTTATCCAGATACTTGGGTATTTCAATTGTCTGTTGGAAATCCAATTCAGGTAAACATACGGAATGAGCAGTACTGGATTGATTCTGGTACCATTGTCCTAAACATACGCGCTACCAGTTTATTTTACAAAAAAGTAAGTATTCTTTGGACACAAATTATACAGTGCATCTGAGTGTGTATGATATATTACCTTTTGGCTTGCAGAATTAACTTGGAGCTGATTTGGAAGAATCCCTGTCCCCAGTGATTGGTCTGCCCCTCCAAATCCTATTGCTGAACTAGGCTGACTGTGCTGTGATCAGTGCCTTGAAGTACTGTGGACTTGCCTGGCTCAGGAACTGAAATACCAGAGAGGGCCGCCAGAGAGGGTTGACTCGATTCTGACATTCCGTTGAAGCCAGTTCAGACCTGCTTACCTCGCTCCTAAAGGCACTAAATTAAATGCAATTATTATTATTAATATCAACCAGACAACAATTTTTGCAATTGGTTGCTCGATATATTCATGATGTACAGAGGATTACTCCAATGGAAGAATGAGGATAATCCATTATAATTCCCAACAAATCTTGTTCTTGGGCTGTATCAAAACCACACTTGAGAAGAGGTATAATAATAGCCCTGTCTAAGTCATCAGATTTGGGAGGGTGACCTCTATCTGCGCTTGGGCATTTTCTCCACCACCTTTTTAACTGAATCTCAAGTGCAAGTGCCTAAGGAATTCCAGGTGTCTGAACACAAAGATTAACCCATCCAAAGTTACTTCATGTCAGATTACCTTTTACCTTTTTAAAATATTTGTGGAATTAATTAAGTCTTTTCATTTGTATTTGTTCAGGGTTACTCAACGTTGTTAGTATACATTCCTGGAGCATCGCTGCGCTGTTTTCTGACTTCTTTCACCATTATCCTGGTATGCAGTTGTCCACCTGGCAAATACATCATTCATCGTCTGCCTATCTCAATCAACAGAGAATATTGGTTGAATTGCAATCGCCCTCCCTTTACTACTTGCAAGGCTTTGAAGACCTTGCCTGTAAGTTGTATAAACTAAGACATGAAGTAAATATATGCAATTTTAGCTAAGCAGTATGACTGAACTGGCAGCAAGAGGTAAGTGTTTATTCAGCAATATGTCACAATTACAATGTAGGGTTTGAGACAGAGAGGGTGAGAGTCCAATGCCGAGTTGCAGGCTTACTCAGCGCTAGCTGCTTAATCCAGGTCCTCATGCGAGGGGCCTTGCAGGGTGCTTAGTGAAGGAAAGTGTAGGCTGGAGCCCTCCCTTCCTGCGGCCAATTCCCATGTTTGCCACAAACCACCTCACTGCTTAATCCTGGACTTTGGGTTGTAGGAAGTCTCTCCGCTGCAGCCCAGGACCTCAGATAAATAAGGAGAGCCCTTTGTACACAGGTCTTCTGTAAGCTTGACCTGCATTGGGACCTTGCCATCCTTGAAGAGGGACGAGCATGACGAGAGTGCTCTTCACCCCTTCTCAGCTAGGTCCTTCAGGATGGTAGGAGTTAAAAGTCAAAGAAAGTTACACTCTGAATATTTTTATCTATAATTTGAAAGTATGCTCTTGCTTCAATTTTGTGACTAGGTTATAACTTGAATTTATATAGCGCCTTTCATGCAGAATGGTGTCTTGAAGCATTTGGAGTACTTGAGAATCCCCCAGAAAAATGAATCAAATTGCAACTAAAAACCTCTTATATAGACCTGAATTTTTTTTAATAAAGGCAGCCAAAATTCATTACTTGTTTCAATAACTATTCCAATTTCCATTGTATAATACTACTGTCTAAACATGGTAAGATAAATCCTTTTCTTATATAGGCAAATTACAGACCACCATCTAAGTATGGAATAAGTATCCCTTTGTCTGAAAATATATACAATGCTGATCCACAACAACCTAGAATGCGAGACTTTTATAAAATTTCAAAGGTAAGGACTTCATTCAAAAAGGTAGATTTAAAATAGGCTTGGAGCCATCCTGAACAAGCAGTTCCTAGGTTCAATTCCTGGTATATGTTGAATTAGTTGAACTCGGCTGGGTGCCACAAGGGAGGGATTAGGAGGTAAATGAGGGAGTTGCCTTCAATTTGGGCAAGATTGAGCAGGATAAATGACTTCAGTCATTCAATAGTTATATGGTATGCACTGGAAAACATTTTCCAGGTAGAGTAAGTTTTCATGGAGCTCACTGGGTCCTTCCACTGGAGGTTTACCAGCCACCTCTGCTCCCTCAAGTCAGAGGGACATGTTGCTGAATGTATCTGGCTCAAATCCAACCTCCACAGACAGATTTGGCTGGCCCACACCTTCACCTCAACTGCAAGCCAGGGTCAACCCCAGGTCCTCTTCACCATCAATTAACTTACATTTTTCTTCACCTGAATTGTAGGAATCTGGACACTACAAACAATGTGCTTTGAAAATGTCACGTGAGGAATGTGGCTGTACAGACGAAATGAAATTATCCTCGTATGCTATTTATTCAGACTGTAGAGAGAGAGTAAGAAGGTTTCTTTAGACTCTTATCTCACTTCAACCATGATTTAGACTATAGGCCCAGGATGATCCACATGTGCGCGTGCAATTTCTCAATGCTGATCTTTTTCACTGTCTAGATTCAGTTAATCTACACAGCAGTATTTCATTAATTATCATACAGTATTGTTTAATTATCAGCCTCAAACAGGAGTACTCTATGAAGTTAATTCTGGCGTCCTGTAGTTTAGTGATTAGAGCACTCACCTTGCAAGCGAGAGGACCTTTGTTCAGTTCCTGGGCAGTGCAAAACATTGGGCAATTTTCCTTACTGCCAATAACAAAAACAACAACTTGCCTTTAACTAGCGCCCTATACACGGGCGTATATTGAGGTACTCTACACACTTCTGTTTATCTAGCAGTAAGTCAGAACTCGGTTGTTAGTCGATTGGTGGATTATTTTTCCGGGGCTACTAATCCCTTCAAAAAAATAAATGGTTTAATTTGGCCACTCCACAACTGACTGGGATGCTGCTGTGCGCAATTGGCTGCCACGTTTCAACCATACAATATACAGTTAATTCACTTTACAGTGTATTCTGTGAAGCGGTTTGAGATATCTCGAAAATATGATGAGGTGCCAAATTAAATGCAAGGTTTATTATTATTCTGTTACCAGTGTTGCTTATTGGTCACAGAATCTTCCGATTCACAGTTAATTTTAAGGCTTATAGCTAGAGTTGAGCGGTTTTATCTCTACAATTGAAAAATAGAACTATATTATGTTTATAAAATTACAAATGTCACTTTGTTGTTGTTTATGACTTTTGGAACAAATGACAGATTTGCAGTGGTAGTTTATATGTAATTTCTGTTGATATATGCTGTAAATGTTTTAATTTCGCAGCTCAAAATGGGTTTTCACATTTACACAGCAACCAGAAAATTATAATTTAAGAGTCAATAATTAGTCTTCAAAACTAATGTTGGAGGTTTAGTTAAACTATGTTTCTGCCCACAAATATACGGACAATTCACTTTACAGTCTATTCTGTGAAGCGCTTTGAGACGTTGAGAAGACGTGAAAAGCGCTATATCAAATGCAAAGATTATTATTTATTATTATATTATTATTGATGATAATGTCAGAAACCATTTTTTTGTAAAATTGGAACATAACTAAATTTAGCTAAAGAATCCTGAGAATTCAATGTACTTTGTCAATGGAAGTAGGTATTGATATAGTAAATATCGGTTACTATCATAACTGATGATCATTCCTGTTCCTGAAGGTATTCAGTATACTGTATCCAGTTCATAATTTATCCATCAGCCTTTATATGAAGAGACCTGGGATGAATGATATTCCTTTAGGAGTTCCATACTTTATCACCATCACTGAAGTCAACAACAGAACTAACTGGAAAATTATTGGTATGTGACATGCACATGTACAAATAAGAAGTTTCATGCTACAGTTATTCATGTGTTTTTAAAGTAAATCCTTAAATAAGTAGACTAATAGTTATATGGAGAAGTGAGTAACCAGCTTAGTGTTAGGAAATAAAAAGTGTTTATTGTGACTATCTGCAATTATGGCACCTTGTAATCTGAATTACATCAAGTAATATTTGTTATTGCTCCAATCAAGGAAGTGAATATTGAACAATATTTTAAATGTTGAGCAACTCTTTAAATAATTAATAAAAACATTTAACAGTTGAATTGCTTAATTGTGATAATTATGTGAATAGCATTATTTTACCCTCTAGGTAACAATATTGATCCAAGCTTGAAAAAACTAAGGAAGTATTTCAGTCTCACACTCAGCAGCATTCCTTATAGTGCACAGGGATTGTTTCTCAAATTGCTTGTAAGTATTCCGTATACCTAATCCAGGTGTTTTGTTGTAGAAAACTGTAAATCTATCAGAGTAATGACTGAATTAGAGGAATTTAGGATGGATATAGAGATGTATTCTCTCACTCTAGTATTTACAAGAATACACTTATTGTACAGGATTGCGTGTTTGTGTGTCAGATGGCTCATTTGTTTCTTAGTCAGAAAGTTGTGGTTTTCACGCCCAATGTCAGGACTTCTAAGGGAGTGTTCTGGCTGGTTACACAACATCGGTTACTGCATTAACCTACAAGCTAGTCACTACACTTTACAGTATATCCTGTGAAGCATTTTGAGACATCCACCTGACATGAAAGATGCTATATGAGATGTAAGGATTATTATTATTATCTAACAGTTTGTTTACCTACAATGCAGGGTTCTGAACTGTATCATTTCAGAGTAACGGTTATTCCTGGAGTGTCATTCTGTGAGCTTGTTGAGGAATTTCAGGTAGTATTGCTATTTCATCTGGAGAAAAAAAACACTAAATTAAAATTTATGAATTTTGCATTTTATTACTTAGTTAATGAAAATTAACTTTTTTAAAAAAAGTTACATGTGGCAAATTTATATAAATTATTGCATTTTGCCGATGTGTATTTTGTTTCACATAAGAATATATGGTAGTAACATGAATTGTACTAGAACAAAAATAGAAGTCACTGGAAACACTCAGCAGGTCAGGCAGCATCTATGGGGAAAGGAGAGTGAGTCAACGTTTCGGGTCCACAACGCTTCGTCAGACCCAGTTCAGATAATATGAAAATGTCAGTATATTTGTTCAGAACTCGAAGTGCCACACCAGTAAATTAAATATTTATCAGATATATCTTGACTTGAAAAATACAAATGACTCTGCCTCATCAGATTGTATATACGTCAGAATTAGTTGAATTACAATATTTCAAAACCAATTCAATGTAACCAGCAAAATATAACCAGTAATATAATATTGTACTGTGGTTTTCATTAATGAAACTTAATTTTTCTTTTTTTTAAATCTTTCAGATATATGTTGAGGACCCGCCAATGGCTTTTCCATTTCAGACTTTAATCAGTATGATTACAGCTATGCTTCTAGGAGCTGTTCTAATAATTTATTTCTTCATACACCGCAGTTACAATAATTCCTCGCACCCCACAAATTGGATTGACAGTAATGTGCGACGGTTGATAAAAAGATTCTCTAAGTTGAAAAGGAAGACTTAAACTTAAGATTTTAATTTTTTACAAGTTTGGAATAGCAAGTCAACATTTATTCTATTAAATATTTAAATTAAATTTCATTTCTTCAATTCTCAGCAGATAAAGAAGCCAGCACTACTGGCTAGTTTTAATAGTTTTGCTGGTTTAATAGATTTGCGTCACACTTAAATTGGCAGTGAAAGTCCAATGTTGATTATATTCCAGTTCATATTTACAAATCCAGGCTAAATTAGTTGTAACAGCAATTTTTTTAAAGAAATTATTATCCCCGGGAAAGCAATCTGCCAATAATAACCCGGTTCCTACTTACTGCTAGGTAACAGGCGTGTGGAGTAAAGAAACATGCCCAAAGTTACGCACTCCCGAGAATCAAACCCAGCCTCTCGCTTACGAGGTGAGTGCTCTAACCACTAAGCTACAGGACTGCACTTTAAAATCATTCTAGCAAAGAGGCACAATAAAGGCATTCCTGATCTGTGCAGTTCATTACAGAAACATTTTGGGCAAACAAGATTCAAGTTAAAAGCCAAGTGGTGTTTGCACTGAATACTGCTGAGATTTTGTGGTGATTTAAACGCACTCCCTGAAGAGGGCGCTATCCACATTTGTATCTGGTTCGAATAGAAATTAAATAATAAAATAATCTTTGCACATGAGGAAAATATCTTGGAATATCTTCACAGGATTTTATTGTAAAGTGCAGTAACCATGTATTGTAGGTGACTGTGGCAGCCAATTTTGCACACAGCCGTGCTTTATAAACAGCCATGAAGTGACGTTAGAAGCTTGTGGGTTCAAGTCACATGTCAGGACTTGAACTCACATAGTCTAAGATGACACTCCAATGCAGTGCTGGGGGACTGTTGCATTATTGGTCATGTCATCCTTCAGAAAACTTTATTCTTCCCCAAAGGATAACTATAGTTTGGTGCAGTTTTCTTCAATTAGATTGAAAGACATAAATAGATCCGGCTTGAGTAGGCACGACAGGCAGTGTCAGAAGTTATCTTTCATATCCTGCTGTTGTAATACAACGTCTTGTGCATTTCCCACCTTGAGAAAACAAGTCACTGGTGCACCTATGGTAATGTTTACATTGATATGTTGTGCAATGCATCACATATAAAGACCATTACAATTGCGGGCCATTACAATTAACAGCACATTCTGCTATCTCCTGGTCACTCAATGCTTGTGTTTAAAAATGTCAGTGAGAGAATAATGTAGAGTTAATATGCTGACCTTGTTAGTCTCAAACATTGGTCTACTTACTTACTTAGGGGCATTCACCTTATACATGTCCAAGAATTGTAACAGCATGGCCAACAATCCTAGCATCATAATACAACAACAACAATTAGGATTTATATAGCGCCCTCCACGCCGGACGGCGTCTCAGAGCGCTTTACAGTAACGGATCCTGGGACCAAGCCAGGGGGAGGGGGAGGAAGGTGACCAAAGGTGACGAAGAGAAAGGTCTTCAGCAGAGACCTGAAAATGGGAAGGGAGGGAGCGAGACAAAGGGAGTGAGGAAGGCAGTTCCAGAGCCTCGGGGCATAGTGGCTGAAGGCACGGCCGCTGAGGGTGGAGCGGGGGATGAGGAGGAAGCCAGACCCAGAGGAACGGAGGCAACGGGTACTGTTTTGGGGCGAGAGGAGGTCAGAGAGGTAGGGGGGGTGCAGAGGAATACTTCCTAATGCTATACCATCTAATATAATAATAATCCACTGCATTCAATATAGACCTGATAACATCAATACAACTCAAAATATTTCTCAGCGAATTACTGCTAAGTTTGGTGACTGTGTTTGGAGACAAATCCAGTTTGGGCACAGCAAGATCTCACAAGCAGTCATGAAGTCAACGAATAACTAATGGTAAACACTTCGTGAAATCAAAAACGATTTCTCATTACATTACCCGGAGGCTGGGAACTCTACATTGGGAATACTGAATGCTCATCAATTAGAAACATTCATGCTATGCTACAACATGCAATGGTTTGAACTTTACACTTTTATCTCACTGAAATTCTCCATAGAACAAATCTAATGGCGTGCAAACCATACAGGAACGAACGGGAAAATTGGAATTATTATTACTGGATTAATTATTAGCTCTGGATTCACATTTGAACTTGTAATCTTATGATCTGTGTGGCTCATTGCTGCCTCTCCCCATGTGGCCATGGGAGCAGCGAATTCATGCTTTTTAATGACATTCAAACTACAGTGAGCAAATGTTTTGTAACAGTTGGGATGAAAGGTTCAGTGGCATGACAGGTATTTCATTGTCTTATTCCTTTGAGAGACACAGTGATATGTGTATGAAATTACAGTGATACACTGACAAATTATTTCTCAATCTAAAACACGCAAGAAGATATCTTCAGGACATTTGAGTGCTTAGAAGGTATCACAAAGCCACTAGGTCAAAGGAACCATTACAAAGATCCTATTTTAAGCTACTAATTAAATACACCTCGTTCTATATTAGACTTGAAATATTAACTTTTTTTTGGATTTGTCCTACTTTTGAACACAGAAAGGTCATTTTTGGAAAACAAGAAAAACAGCTTTATTTTTATTCACTCATGTCTCACTGGAACACTCCCCTTTCTGCATTAGCCAAGGCGACATGTTGAGCCGGGGACAAACCTCAGCAACAGATACTTTGGATGCTTCAGGGATGGGCGGGGGGTTAGAATCATAGAATTATACAGCACAGAAGGAGGCCATTCGGTCCATCGTGTCTGTGCTGCTCTTTGAAAAGAGCTTCCAAATCAACCCCACTCCCCTGCGCTCTGCTCTCCCCATAGCCCCGATCAACCCCACTCCCTCCCGCACTCTCCCCAGAGCCCTGATCAACCCCACTCCCCCGCTCTCTCCCCAGAGCCCTGATCAACCCCACTCCCCTGCGCTCTGCTCTCCCCATAGCCCTGATCAACCCCACTCCCTCCCGCACTCTCCCCATAGCCCTGATCAACCCCACTCCCTCCCGCACTCTCCCCAGAGCCCTGATCAACCCCACTCCCCCACTCTCTCCCCAGAGCCCTGATCAACCCCACTCCCCCGCGCTCTCTCTCCACATAGCCCTGATCAACCCCACTCCCCCGCGCTCTCTCTCCACATAGCCCTGATCAACCCCACTCCCCCGCTCTCTCCCCATAGCCCTGATCAACCCCACTCCCCCGCTCTCTCCCCATAGCCCTGATCAACCCCACTCCCCCGCTCTCTCCCCATAGCCCTGATCAACCCCACTCCCCCGCTCTCCCTATAGCCCTGCAAACTTGTCTTCCTCAAATAATTACTCTCTTAAAAGTTGTTATTGAATTGGTTCCACCGGCCTTTCAGGCAATGCATTCCAGATCCCAACAACTCGCTGTGTGAAAACATTTCTCCTCCCCTCCCCTCTGTTTCTTTTAATAACTATTTTAAGTCGGTGTCCACGGGTTACCCACCCACCCGCCAGTGGGAATAGTTTCTCCTTGTTCACCCTATCGAATCTCATAAATTTGAATACTTCTATTAAGTCTCCTCTTAACCTCCTTTCCAAGGAGAATAATCCTCACTTCTCTCGCCTCTCCTGATAACTGAAGTCCCTCATTCCTGGTACTATACTGGTAAATCTCCTTTCCACCCTCTCCAATGCCTTGACATCTTCCTCAGAACTGAACACAGTCTCTAGCTGAGGCTTAATCAGTGTTTTATAAACTAGGTAACTAAGTCCTGTCATTTGGACTTGAATTACAATACATTTGTTTGTGTTAATGAAAACATCCCTCAACCAATTTACTCAGTATTAAAACTCAGGACTGCTATGTCGCGTGAATATGATAAAAGAAGCATCTCTGGGGCTTGAACCAAACACCATTTGGTGGCATGGTCAATGTTACACCACTCTACTAGCCTGTGGCATCTTCCTGAACACTATAACCATATTTCATTGACACAGAAGATTATATTGATATTGAGTTTATTTCATCTGAGAATGCTACCTCCATGATAACAGATAATAATGATAATGTTTGCAGTTGATATAGTGCCTTCACGCCAGGATTCTGCCTCAAAGCGCTTCACAGGATGTGTTGTAAAGTGTAGTGATTGTATTTTTTAGGCGAATGCAACAGCTAACTTGATCACTGCAGTATCGCACAAACAGCGATCAATCTGGGGGATTGTTGGCCAGGACTCCAGGAGGAATTCTCTTTGCTTTTTAAGAAGTGGCATGGGATCTTCAGCATCCACCCGCACAGGCAGATG